GCACGCTTAGTATTACAGTGACCGAATTAAAAAAAACACTTTTTTGGCAAATCGCATAAAACTATTTGCAATAGCGACTTGTCCTGTTAAATTCTCTATAAATTCATAATTACCTAAGTTGTACAATGTAAGTTTAATTTTTGTTACAGTATATACATCAAAGCTTTAGGTGAAGTTGAAATTTTTGTTATATTTTATTTATTTTGAACACTATAGGCTTTTAAAATTGGTCTTGCAGGTTTAGGTCTTTTTAAAATTAATTAATGGAAAATTTGATAAAGAGTATACAGACCTAATTTATTTTAAGTCATTCTAATAGAAAAAACATAAACTACTTGACTGTACAACTTAGGTTTAAGTCTATTTACAATTAAACATAACAACGACGTTTTTGCCTTCGGTCTTTTTTCATAATAATAAGTCATTCTAATACAAAAACATAATACAATTAGGCTGTATATTTTATTACTTAGGTCCATTTGTTACTAAAATTAAAACGATATTTTTAGTTCAGTCTTTTTAATTAAAAGTTAAATCAACATCTCTGAACAATATTTGTTGTGTTAAATCTTAAAAAACTAGCGCATACTATTGTTAATTAACGAATTTAATTAAAAAACAATCATTCATATTTATCTAACGAGAACATTATTTTCCAACAAATAAAATAACTAAGGTTTATTTCTAGAAACTAATAGGTAGGTTAAGAATCAGTCTCACAATTTTTCTAATTGGTTTATTTTATTAACTATCTAAGGTACATAATTACTAAAAACATTTTCAAACTAAAAAATGGAACTAATTATTTACTTGAACTTTTAGTACCATAGCGCTGGTTTTCTGGTAACTAAAAGCTTATGAGACAATAAATAACAAAAAAAAAATTATCAGTCACTCTTATTTCTTATGAAATGTTAGTAAACAGGTAGGTACACGACAGGTTACAAAACTTGCACCTCTACGTGTCTTAGTCATAGCTACATAATATTTAAGGATTAAAAGGAACCCCAAAAATAGGAATCTCTGTAGGACAATAACTTGAGGCTTATCAAAGATACAAGTATAAAAATATAAATAACAAAACAAAAATATCTTACCTAACCTAACTTCTTTCTTTCGGTTAACTTCTTAAGAAATTATTCAACCATCTCAGTCGTAGTGATAATCATAGTAGACAAGTAAAAGAAAAGATGAAAAAGTGCTCCTCATCATAATCATACATAATTCGTTTGTAAAAGTCCTCCACAAGACATCGAAGACCGCTTTTGAATCTATTATTTAGCATCTAATATAGAATCATAAAAATCGGAATAAAAATTTGGTATCAAATTTTTGCAATTAACTCGCGCAAATATTTTTTTTTATTCTCGCTCAGCACTTGTATTCCTGTAAGCCTGAACTAGTCCTAATTGCTCTAAAGGTAACATTTTAGTTCGTCTGTTTCGTACATACTTCAGTAAATTTTGCTGGTTGTATGATTCTTTAATAAAAAAAGAAGATGGGTAATTCCTTGTTACTTTATATATTTGGGTGTAACATCGGTTAAGCATGACAAAATAAAAGATTGTTGATTATGAATATTTCCTATTTTACAATATGCATCGAAAATACGTTGCCTATGCATAGAATCAATTTTGGTAGGACACCGCTATCTACATTTATCAATACAAGGTGGTTAAATATGATGCTTCAATTATTGCATTTTTGCTATTCATAGAAGTTTTCCCGAATTCGTTCACTTTTTGGCCTTCATTTGTTTCCAGTTTTCCGGTTGTCTAGTGCGCTTTCTACCTTTTGCCACAGTAACAACTCCATTTAATTCATCACTTACGGAAACCGCTGCTGAAGTTGATTCCTGTTCTTGTTGCATTATATTCTTCCACATATTCATCACTAGAGCTGTCAGATGACGAGAACTTGAGCTCGAAGAAGAAGAGCTACTACTACTAGAACTAGAATTGTGAATAGGGGGAAATAGCAACTTATGAACCCTTCTATTATCTTCTTGAACATTAAAAGTAGGATCACCATCACTTAAATCTGCGTCACTATTTTCAGCATTGATGGGCGGAATACGCTAATTTATAGGTGTTCTTACGCGGCCTTCAGCATTTTCCGGTACTTTTAAGCAGCATGCAAATTTTAAGTAAAAACGAAAGACATTCCATTAAGCTCAGGATCAATAAATAGAGATAATATTGTAACAACCTTCCGCCATTATAAAATAATTTTCAAGGAACCGCAGATTAACTATATTCAATTTAGTGATTTCAATACCTGGTTAGATGACCAGGACCTTTTGAAGGAAGATTAGAATTATCTTCAGTATCTTTAAAATATTTTTGTGCATTCAAATACCGACGATTTTCTGCTTTTTTTCTAATAACAGCTACAAGTAAACACAAAAATTAATGAATGAAAATTACAGTCAGTAATAAATTAATACAAAAATAATATATATTTAGTTACCTTGACATCAATACTTTTATTATTATTATTAGATACAGTATTTTCCTGCAAACAAAATTGATTAAAAGGTAAGTAAAAAAAAACAGGCAACTGCAGATAAAGTACCTTCAATATAATTATTACATACCTGGTTAGGTTCTTTATGAGGAGGACTGCTATTATCTTCATTATAAACAAAATCCGTATTTTTTTTTTGATCGCACAGAAGCCATTGTAAAAAAGAGATACAAATAAGTCTTAAAGTAAAAGAGTTTTTTTACGGCCATTTTAGTTTTAATAAGTCATATTACTGAAAACTAACGCACTATAAATATTACAGGCAAAAATATATAATATTTTTAATGAAACACAGACCCATTACTAAATTGACCATCAGCAAGTTAACTAGTAATAGTATTAAATGGACTTATCGATAAACTATGACAGTAGCAAAAAAAACATTGACAATATATTTACTTTTAAACTGACTTAAACATTAATGTGATCACGAACTGTTATTATTTTGTAGTTTTAAACAGACCTAAAATTAAATAGTCCGGTTAAATGTATCTAAATTTTAGGATTAGAATGCCTCGTTGTGTAAAGAGTCAAAATAAAACCAAAAATATGTATAAAACTTACCTTTCATTTCGATATAAAAAGGCCTTAAAAACTGATGGGTCCCTTTTATGTTAAACACACTAATTGTTATTCTTGTAACGATTGAACGAACACTTAATGAGTCGGTGTTATGTCAATCAACGTCATAAAATTCGTAAATTTGAAAGAGACCTAAGAACTGTAAGAGCAGGAAAACGCTGTTTTTTGATGAGTTTCTCGCAGTCATTTCATAGATGGCGTTATTATAGTAATGTCAGTGCATTTATCTCATTTTACTTAAATTTTGAGTTAGGTCACTCTAATACTAAGCGTGCGATATATCGATAAATAATCTTAATACTCACTTCAATCAGTGGTACAACAAAGTATTTAAGTACTTAAATACATTATAAACAAAAACTACCGCCTAACGATACCGAAAAACAGTTGTTAGCGAGAATTTATAAAAGATATTTTGATACTTCTTTTTTTATTTTAGGAATTTTACTCTAGGAGTTCAATGGTAGTGGCGTATATTTAAAACATTTGGATTTAGTCTGTACAATCTAAAATCTAAACGTTAAAGGGTTGGTAGGAATATCGAGATTTCGTTGGGGTCTCAAATCGCTCGCGCAAACCACAGATAAATGAGTATGATGGCGGTTTGGTTTTATTCTGTTCGATATAGATTTGAAGCGATTATAATCTGGATTCATCCAATCATTTAATCGGAATAACAGCTCCGGGGTCTCAACAATAGAAATTTAGGATTTTTGTTTTTAAATAGAATAATGCACAAAGAATTCCGCTTATATTAATATGTTTGGTAAATACTACAAGAGTCTGTGGTATTGCAAAATATTCTCTATAAACTTGACTGAGAAAATTGTTTATCTATAGGGAATTTTTTTCTGGGCCAGGGGGCTAAACTATTTTTTTTTTTCCGAACTCTTAAATCGGACTTAGACTATGCTGAGGTACAGCCGAGCCAAGTTGGGTGGTGACTAATGGTGGTCGTCCACACATATCTGCCCTTAACAGTCAAGCAATATATATGACAATTATACGCTTATACATATCTCTTCTATTATAAAACATAATTGGTTGCATTGATGTATTATTTTTGAAATTAGATTAAGTTCTAGCGAGTTAATCTTAAAATATAGACCTACACAGTCGCGTACCTCTTTTGAGATCATTTAAAGAACTATTCTTTCATACGTATTTCAGAGCATAAAGACATTAAGCGGCTCCCGTTAGATATTAAGTAATTTTAGACAATATTAATTAACAATAAGTAACATAGGATAACAATATAATATAACATAGTGATCAAAAATAACAAGGACCTAGGTATTTTCCCTAGCCGGCCAACCAGATCTTAAATTGAGATATTAAAATAATTTACTGAATATTAGATAAGAAAGGGCTTATTCTGAATATATTGATTTTTATTTAAATATAGTTAACTAACGGTACCTAGTGTCAAAAATACATTTTAGAAAATTGGAACTTGATTTATTTCTTATAGGTCATTGTTTAGGTTCTGGAATAAAGATAAATAAAATAAGAAAGTATATAAAAAACGTATTTATTGGTATCACATATGACGGTAATAATAACAAAAGAAATCATTAACATATATATATTGTATTTGTAATAGTCCCCATGGCGTCTTCTGGACACTCGTCAATATCACATAACTGAAAATAAAATAAATAATTAACGACAATCATACTACAAATATTAGATTCCCTATGTGAGACAGATATATTTGGCATAATTTGTTTCTCTTACCGATTTTTGTTACAAGAAAATGTTGTTTCGTTGATATCTCAATTCAGTTAATACATTAAATACTGTCTAGTCTACGCGAGTAGTACACATTAAAATAAACACTTAAAGGCGATTTAAAACGCGAAATATATTAATTAAACTTATTTGAAACGCGGCCCGACGTTTCAGATGCAGTCTTTAATAAGTTTTATTAATATATTTCGCGTTTTAAACCGTCAAAGTGTTTTATTTAAAAAAATCTCTATTATATATCTCCCGGTATTCCAAAGTAGGAATTCACTTATTCCGATCCTGCCTTTAGGGAGAAAGATTACTTACGGGACTCAGCTACAGCATCTAAAATGACCATGAGCGTAAATCCTACGAGAGCGCACAGGAACTGCATTATTCCGCTCCTATCTTGTCTCCATACCTCGAAGAAAACTACATAGACCAACGTTCCACAAGCCAGACCCTGTCAAAAACATAAATACACGATATAAGACATTATTAGATACAAAAAGTACAATCTTTCTTATTACGTCACAAAGTATGACCTTAGTGACGTATTAGACAAACTCCAGTTCTTACCTGCAAGACAACAGAGTACAGACCAGCTGACGCGGCACCAGATCCTCCGACCAGTAGGATTCCCACTCCGATACCCAAAGCGGACACAAAGGAAAATGTGAAGATGTAAATTGTAGAAAGCCACTTCTTGGTTCCTGCTGCGAGAAGTTCTACTCCAATGCAGAAGGCAATGATGTACTTATGAGCTGATACTGCCCCAAACATAAACCTGTAGAAAAAAAAATTATTAATTTAAATTTAAACAATTTTGTGCTCATTAAATAAAGCACTTTTCAATAGACTAAAACACCTACATAAACGACATAAACTTAAGTACCGCATTTTCAACTGATAATAAGTAGTAATTAAGAATTTTTGGTTATACGGAAGTTCTGACATTCGGCGGTAAGTTATCTGGAGGTAAGTTAAGTTTAGATACTATAAGTCAGTCAGTCAGTGCTAAAATTCACGATTTTTGACCTTCACATCTTTATGACCGTTTGAACTAGCTTCATGAAATTTTGACCTCCAGGTGGCCTCGTAAATATGTTTAAACACACGATCGTGTGTTTATGTTAAATAGTTTTTTAAGTTTCAGACGGGTCAAAAGTGGCACCAAATGGTTCATGTAAAGATACACTTGGCGCTTGTTGGCCAGTGCCTTTGCCTGAACTTGGCTTGACAAGCTGCCGCGGGTCTAGGTTTTAAGTTATAACACAAGAAATTTTTATTGCTTATAAACATGAAGCGAAATATAAGCCATTTTAAAAATAGTATTATATGTTTATTTTCGGTTTAAGTTCTCATTTTGCCCATTTCTAAATTAGTGATAAGAAGGTATTTTATGTTATGCAAGAAGGGGGGAGATTAGGATTAGTACATAGATCGATTCTTATTTTCTTCTTGTCATTCCGAAGATATATGGAATATTTTCTGGATAATAGTCGACTATGTTAAATTTCAAGCTATCATCTTCATATCCAGCAAATGTTCACAAAATTGGTGAAGCAGTTAGGTGACGAGCAGCTAAGTAAGTTGCAGCTTCTAAACTAAATCATAAGTACCTCTTGATACCTTGAAGCATATACATGTGTAATATATGTGTGATTTTGTGGATCACATTGTAGATTTAAATCGATAAATATATCAATCAAATCCGATACCAGGCAATACCAATGATTTTTTAGACCACAGACATCACAGCCATAAAAAGAATAGATAAAAAATGAAACAATCTTATCTATAATTGTGACATATCCTATGTTACCACAATCCTATAACATCATGAATCAATCTTCTTAGACAAGTCTAGTAATATTTTCGTCATTCGATGAAAATAATCTTTTTTATGTATTAATCCGGAATCAGAGACATGTGTCATGTCGGATTTTTGATGTGTATACGCATGTGTTAAAAATATTATCTAATCCCTTTGTTTAATATATAACTTATTATGTACAATAGAATGCATAGGTACTATTGGTCGGTTTTATTTAGAGGTAAGGAGTTGATCAGACATCTGTGTTGTCCGACGTAAGCAATCTACTGTGTCACCTAAAAACCACCAAGACCTCTCGTAAGCATCAAGTTTAACCATTTAGCTACAGAGACGGTCACGGACATTATAGTAAAGAAGAAATATTTAAATTAAAAAGGTGTCTACTTAAGTATAATTCTAGGTTTATGTTTTTTAGACTACATATTTCGTTGGTTTTATAAGAACTGAAGCTACTGAGCCTTTCGTCCAAAGATGAGTAAATTTTAATACCTCATAGCTGATAAACACATTTATTATAAATCAACAACTTTAAAAATGTAACATGTCTTGTATTTTTTAATTTATCCGCACAAGACCTTTCAAACAATCGCAAGCAAAAACGTTATCGTGTACATAAATACTAAACTTCATGTATTTTTTTGCAGGGTATTGACTTCTATTCTCCAAACTTTGAGTAATAATTTTAGCCTTTTCTGTTTTCTGTCTGCTATAGTCTTTAACTTTGAGCCTAAAAGACTAAAGCAGGGAAGAAAGAAATAACTAATCATGTTTATACCACATATTACCAAAATGAGATGGAAGGGTATTCCCTTCGCGAATGGCACAATTATAATATCATATATTACAATCGTCCTGCAGACCCACGCGGACATATTACATCATTCAATTCATTTATACTTTAAACATTTAACAGTATATGGAAGTTGACCATTATCCAACGAGACGACCACGCGGATTTACTAACTCTGTTGCGTATCTATACTCTAATATAAGGCTGAAGTTTGTTTGTTTGAATGCGGCTCCGGAACTACTGGTTCGATTTTTTTTTGGTATTGGCTTGAAAGATCTGGACTTTTATTGGAGTAGAAACGGCGGAAATGGAAAAAGAAACGCGAAAATTTGTTTACTTGGTTTAAAAGAATGTTCCTTTTTAAAAAAAAAAATATCCGTGATCTATCTCTTAAATTATTTTTTTGTGACGGACGGCGTCTTGTTTTCTATAAATTATAAAGCTGAGGAAATTGTTTGCAAAAATGAATTATAATATGATGAAATACTTGTTTCTGTAGTTTATGCGAGTAGTACACATTTAAATTAAACATTTTAACAGCCGTGGTCACGGGGAGACTCCCCGATACCACGGTTGCTGCAATCCAAAACTTGGGGCCGTAGTTAAAAAAAAATGTAGAATAAGTTTAAATAATATATTTCGCGTTTTAAACAGTTAAAGTGTTTTATTTAAACATAAATGCCCAAAATAACTTCCACGTCAACAAAATTGAGGTATAATGAGGTATAATAGTAGTTTCTATGGTACGTATAACTCACCAGACACTATTGGCTGAAGCCTCCAAGCCCACAGCAAGACCTTCAAACAGCTCGTGTATGGACAGCGCAAGTACGATCAATAATCCTCTTAAAGCAGACACTATAGTGTCGTCGCCCTGTATCGGTAAATGACTGTGTCCATGGCCCTTTGCACCTGCCTCCACACTCTTTATGACCTGCGTGGCACCTTCTTCTTCGGAATTGCTTCGTCTTATGCTTAGCACTCTTGTAAAGCTAGTGTTGGCAGTCTTGTTTTCTCTCCTCGTTATGTATACATGGACTAACTCCTCGACCAGGTACATCATGAAGAAACCGCAACACATGATTAGGGCCGCCAGGTATATTGGCATTTCTGGTAGTCTGCCTTGTTCTGTAAAAGACACTTTCTTTAGAAACTGGCAGATTCAATTATTAGACAAAGCCAGACTTACAAATATATTGTTTCAGATGCGTAGGGGGGGGAAAAAAAAAAAAAAAAAAAAAAAAAAAAAAAAAAAAAAAAAAAAAAAAAAAAAAAAAAAAAAAAAAAAAAAAAAAAAAAAAAAAAAAAAGGAGGGAAAAAAAAAAAGAAAAAAAAAAAAAAGGGGGGAGGGGGGCCCCCCCCCCCCCGGGGGGGGGGGGGAAAACCCCCCCCCCCCAAAAAAAAAAAAAAAAACCCCCCGCCCAATTTTTTAGGGGGGGGAAAGGGGGACCCCCCCCCCCCAAAAACAAACCCGAAAAAACCCCCCGGGGTTTTTTTCCCCGGGGGGGGGGCCGTGACCCCAACGGAATTTCTAATTTCGACCATTACATCCAGATTTCCAAACGAAGTTCAAGTGGTTTCAGAATAAAATGATGATTAAAAAATGTTGGACCCGGTAGGGATCGAACTCAAACCGTTGATTAATAGCCGTATATTGCTACCATTACACCAATAAGCCAGTCAAGAAGTGTAACTGAAGCCTCATTTACAATTATAGTCTTATTTTAAAGCTAATTGTATGAAGCTATATTAATAATAATTAGATTATTTATATATTTTATTCATAAATGAACGAAGTTGCAGTTGGTATCTAGTTAAATTATGTTATCAATATCATCGATGATCGCCTACCCAAACTATGTAACTGTCAAAGGATTTGATAAATCCTTCAAATTTCAAGGCGTATTTCCAAAATACACGGTAATTCCTATTTTTGTATTGCGATACATGTCACAATCAATTTGAGAAATTCCAAACTGCTGTCGCACTAAAAATACATAACCAACAATATATAACTGCAGAAATAATATTTCTGCCCGTTTTTGGGCTTTTGCGATAAAGACTAATAAGGATATTGCTAATGCGCTCTAAATAAAAGGGGAAATCGAATGGAAAATGCTGAATGTATGTTTACTTGTTCCATAACGTTGCGTCAAATAATAATGTATCTGTGGAAAGTTTGCTTAACTGTGTTTGTGTCAAATCGGAGCCTAATCTGTGTACATAATAGGACGTTAATTCTCAGTTCAATAACTATTATATTAAATACTGTATAGTTTTCGCGATAGTAACATTTAATACCGTGACAGCTTGCAAAGCATCCGAAACTCGGGCCGAATTAAAACTCATTTTCAAATAATTTACCTAATAACTCTTTATTAAACTATTTTATTTTATCCATGATATAATTTTATTTGTGGGTATATTATAACCAGTAGTAGTAGTGAAATTAGAAAACATTATTTTAGATTTGTTAAAACTTCTTAACCCATATAAGTCACTGTATTTTTTATTTATAATATAATATTTGAAAACATTAATATTTTTCACATGTTATTTGCACGTGAAGGCACTATATAATTTAAAGATCGAAAATAAATTGAAAAAATTTTCGACTCGGGCCGGACTTGAACCGGCATCGTCAGCTTTCCGTGCTGTTGCTCTACCAATTGAGTACCGAGATCCTACACCCCATCGTCATTTTTTCGGCTTATTGATACATGCACCTCTCGCAATATCCTTAAAACGCAAGTGTTTAGGTAGAACACTTTACATTACTCGCATTTAAACCGTTAGAATTGGTTAAATGAAATCTGTACCTTAAAATAAACACTTTACGCTACTGAATTTGACCATGAATATTCTTGTATTTCTTTCTACAATCGCTTCTAATACCTAAGGCTAGAGTCAGTAACATTATATATTTTACAAGACATACATATCACGTTCGTCATATCATGATTGAAACTTACTAAAAGTTTCAATAAGAAGGTTAAATAAAAGTTTTATCCAACAAAGGAAGCAATATTTTGGTACGCTATGTTGTTGACCAAGAAACATATAACTGACTGATAAGATATTATCGTCTACCTGCTATTAACGTATTAAGAATGTGTTAATTTGTACTTATTTACATACACTGAACATCACAAATAATATTCCTCCTCTTTTTAGTGTTTTACAATGATTACAATTTTAAGAACTGGAAGATGTGTTTGTTGTAATCTATTCTAATATATAAATCTTGTAATATTAAGAAAGAGTTTGTTTAAACGCGCTAATCTCAGAAACTACTGGTTCGAATTGAAAAAAATATTTTTTTTGAAATGTGGAAAAAACAGATTATTCATCTCTGTGAGATTTAGTACTCTACGAAAACGGTTTAAGATACCCGAAAATATGTACGAAAAATTAATTTCTTCTTAAATAATCTAAAAAAGTTAACGATACTATATTATATCTGTCTTTTAAGAAGGGGACACGGACGACGTCGTTAGTAGTTATGATTTATAAAGACGAAGCTTGCAAAAACAAATTTTAAAGCCCAAAACAACTATTCTACGCTGACGAAGTCGCTGGCACAGCTAGTAATATAATGCAATGTGTTTTAATGATTAATAAAAGTGCTTTAAATTTGTCAATTCGTTAGGTGATTGACATCAGCCAGTACGTTAAATAAACAAAGCTCCAAACATCCTTTTTAAATCCTTGCTCTTATTTTAGTATATAAAGATGACTTCCTGCTTAAGCCGAAGTAGTTTTTAAAATAAACATTGTATGTTTCGTATAAAGATTCGCTAATTTAAAATTAATAGTTACAATAGTGGTTAAAACACGAAAATATTTTTTCTTTTCTTTTTTTATAACAGCGGAGGACAGAATAACAATTACAACTTCACGGTTTCGTCATTAGTGAAAATAAAAAATAGACTATGTTGATCATTTGACAGACAGAGATTATATATATAGTTAGTCAGCATATTAAATAATTAACATGAAATAAGAAGCTAGATTTGTTTTATTGCGTCTTTTGTTACAAAGTATAATACTGTGTTGCTATATCGTCCTAATATTTATTTTTAAAGCAATATGTTGTTGAATCGGAAATGAATATTTAAAATGTGTTAAATCTATTATTTGGTGCATAGTTAACACACAATTGCATGGCTCGGTCGACACTATTTATTGTTTTCACGAAATTTGAACCCTAGACCTCTGGCGCTTAAAGCGCTATTAGTCAAAACGTTAGAATATTAAATAAGTAAAATACAGTAAAAACAAACAGATATATTTATATGTTAAAAGGAACGTCAGTCTCTCACTGCGGTCAGTATATAATTTTACAAAGTTATGACATTATTTTTCGCAATAACACTACCACTTTGAAAACTCGTAAGAAGGTCTTATATCAACATTGCACTAAGGTTAATAGTACCTATTTATTTATTTATATTTTACACAGGAGAACCGGTAAGCAAGGGACTTAATTAAGATGCGATGTTGACCTTTTTTGGCTTTGACATCGGGACGTGGGGATTTGTAAATAGCGTACATTGTCTTGTTACAACTTACCTTGTAACTCTTTCACATTCTTGTCAACTTCGGGCAGTAGATGCATAAACGTCGTAGCGAACAGCACTCCCCCTCCGAACGAAAGCAACCCAACGACCAGGGAGTTAGAAGTACGCATGTTCGTGTCTTCCTTTGGCGTGAACCATTTGTACTTAATGGATATTATACTCGGCAGAGACCCGACTATCATGGAGACGCTGAAGAGGCAGGTCATTGTTATAATTTTCGCGTTCAGTGCATTTCCTTCGGCGACCGTGGTCTCGTTCATTGCAGACATGATTGTAGCGAGGTCGTAGTTTCCGCAAGGCGACGTGTCGGTCGGTGAAATCTAACACAACTGATCCATCTCCCCAATAATGCTGCAGGCAGACTCTTGATAACGATAAGAGCCGACAGTGGCTGTTTGTTCACGCATCAATTAGATTCCGCTCTTGATGCATGTCTTTAGCATTTATCTCCTGTCCAAGATACAATGATGACGCGAGTTTTATACGGGACGTCGAAAATGGTTCCGCAATGTAGGTATTTTATATATTGTGTGTATACTGACATATTATATAATGAATGTCAAGTAACTAAATATTGTCATAATTATTTTTGTCTTATGAAATCCGATTTTCAACTGCTCCTCACAACGTTTTACAAATAGAAGATGAGAAATAAACTACGCAACACTATGAAAGGTGAGTATTAAACTTAATAATTTAAAAAAAAATGCAAAATAAGTACTGCCAAATGAAGTTATCATGTAAAATAATTAAATATCCGCCCAAAATAAAATTTGCGTTCGGGCCTCGCGCTCCACTCACATTATTATGCATCCCCGAAGTACCTGGAATAAATTACATAATATTACATTTGCGTAATGATTTATCCTATTATCTTAGAGTATATTTTATAAGACACAGGGGAACATTAACTATTATTAAAGTTACTTTAAAACCATTAGAATACTGTTTGATTTTATTACTTTTGAACAATTAACCAGTTCACTAATGATTATTTCCGTGATAGAAAATACTATCAATATTGAAGGTACATTAAACATTTTTGTATGGGTTAGTAATAAATATGGTATAGTAATAGAATAGACACGATAGTCTATAGACTAGCATCTAAAAATTTTATTTTATATAGTATTGTGATAGGTACAATACTATACAAACAGCGTAAATAAGTTTAACTAATATATATCGCGTTCTGAACCGTTAAAGTGTTTTATTTAAACGTGTACTGCTCTCGTAAACTACAGACAGTATTTACAAATGTATTTATTTTCCTTACAAACCCAAAAAAATAAACTAAATAAGAGTGCTTATAAACAATTCGTCCATAGACATGTTTTTGTATAGTCTATGGCATTTATCAATCGCCTATAAAAATTAATACATATTACTATTAGTTTTCTATGAAGTTTTAAACTTAGAATTTGTTTGTGTTGTTTATGTTTATTAATAATAAATAAATTTGAGTACAATCTGCAAATATGAAATAACTATAATATGATATTAAGATTGTAAATAAATATTATCCCATAGGGCTGTAATCTGTATTATTCTATTTTTTAAACTAGATTAATAGTTATTCCACACTTTATTATGTTATTTTTTTGAGAAATATAAAATAAGCTATTAACATTGTATAATAGCACCATCATCAATATGCAAAAAAAGCTTATTTACCTGATGGTCTTAATAGTATTGTCATTAACTTTTTGGATCTATCGTACTTCAAATTTACAATATAAAAATACGATTATTACCTTTCAACATAGTAAAAAATATATTAACCATGTGATATTATCTCCGTCCAATGCAACATGTTTAAGTAAGACGTCTCCTATTTTAAAACCTCTTAAAGACACATTCATCTTAAAATAAAAATCACCCAAAAACATGGAAATTAATAACCATGTTTTATCCAATTTCAGATCCTCAGCATCTCCTGATCATAGTTACTTCATATGTGGGACATGTAGAATTAAGAAGTGCTCATCGAAGAGCAATGCCGGCTGATTATCTTGCATCAAAAAACACCTCAAGAATATTTTTACTTGCAAAAATTCCTTCCGCTGAAAGGTGAGCCCTTTTTGCCTTATTGATTTACTCATAAATTCTTTGATTAAAGATAAATTTATCTTCAGGTACATTACACAATCGGCAATAGAAGATGAACACAAAATATATGGAGATATCCTTCAAGGTTCATTTTACGAGCATTATAGAAACTTAACATACAAACATCTTATGGGACTACAGTGGGCATCAACTTGTCACACTGCATTTATTCTTAAAGTTGACGATGATACAGTATTTAACTTTGACTTAACTATTAATTTTCTATCAAAGGTGCCTACACAAGATCAGTTTATAATGGGGTATGTCTTGAACAATACATTGCCCAGGAGAAACAGAGAAAACAAATGGTATGTTACAATGGAAGAATATCCAGGACAGCTTTACCCTCCTTACCTCTCTGGTTGGTACTATATAATAAGCCCTAAAACTGCTGCTTCAATCAGCAATGAAGCTCAGTACCACCCATACTTTTGGATAGATGATATCCTAGTTACTGGAATCTTAACAGAGTACCTTGGAATAAAACTACATAGACTACCAAAAGATTTTTGGTTAGAATATTATGAACAAGTTGAATGCTGTCTAAGAGATATGATCAAGAAAAACATTCAATGTGACTTTATTGTTGGACCAAATGGTGGTCGTAACAATTTGTTAGTTGAATTTAATGAAGGTTACAAAAATTGTAACAATTGTGTAAAGAGGAAACAAAAACTAAGAGATACATGTATTATGAATAGGGACAGGGCAATTTTCAGTGATGGAATTGGTGTAGTTAATAAAGTAATCTTGTAAGTCCCTAAATTTGTGGCTCTACGGTTGAGACAAGTCCTGGTTCGCACTGCAAGAAAGCAATTGATATGGTTGGGCAAAGCACCAATTTTTTTTTGCCCGTAAATAAAATTGATCAGTAAAACAGGATAACCAGTGCAACTTTACTTGTTCAATGATGAAGCAAAGATAACAAGGCATTACTGAATTTAACAATAGAAGATTTTACCTCTTATTATTAATAATTATCTGTGATATTGTAATGAAATAAGTGGAATAATAATGATCTAATGAAATAATAATAATGATCTAATAAAATAATAATGCAATGGCACAAAGTTTATTTCAAAATTGTCATGTACTGTTTTTTCTTTGGGAATGCAACAACAAGGTTTTGCTTAATGGCATAAAAAACAAAAATTAATTATGTTCACATAAAAATTGTATACAACATTAAAACAATGTAAACATGGAAGATCTTATGATTGCAACAAATCACTTAACTACAAAACTTGATTCAAAAAATCTCATTACTCCTTAGTCTAAAATCTATGAAATAAAAGTATTAATTCCACCAAAGGAATATTTTCTCTAGAGATTGGCTAAAAACCACTAATATTAACTAGCGAGCCAGGTATTAGTTATTGATTGGTCTTTAACAACACAGTCCTTAAATCCTTTCATCACATATGTGGATTGAAACCAGATGGCTTTATCAGTCGATTCGATTTCATTAAACTCATCATCACTAATGCTCATTTTTGACAAGTCCTGATTTAGTACATCGCCAAATATTTGAAAATCATTACAGCAGGCAGTTTTCTCTTGATTTCCTCCTTTAAAGTTAAATGTAATTATTTTACAGCTTCGCGGTATCCTATATCCATTTGTTACTTGAACGAAAGTGTCATTGCATACAGCTTGCTGATTTGTCATTGGTACTTTTTTTATAAACACATACATATTTGTAGGCGATAAAGTCTCTAAGAAAATGTTTTCACTATACAGCTTATCTGACGTCACCAAAGTTCTGAAACATTTCAAACAATTTAACAAACAAAAAGTAATAGTATTAACACATACATACAAACACTTGTGTGTATGTACAAAAAAAGAAAAATATATTTGTGAATACAACTTAAATTTGAATGCCTGTTGCATATAGCCTGTTATTTGTGCACCAATAATTTCCTTTTCTGGATATCTTTGTCAAAAATATAGCATTTTCTCCCTAATTTAGTTTTAATTCCAGAGATTCTATCATACAGCGGGTAGGTGTATATTAAACAGATTGTATGAAAGACAAACTAAATCAAACAAAAACATGTGATTTGAGTATAAAGAAACTATTGTTGTATAAAATTTAAACCATATTTCTTATTATTACCTAAATACTGTGTCTTTTATTTTTCTATCTGATGCAATATGTGCAGAATGGCATTGTAGTTTGTGACACACAGCTGGCAGCAGAAGACGATACATTTCCTTACAAGTGATAGGTGTAGCACCAAATGCTACACAAACTTCTTGCGGTTGCGCTGCTCCTTCAATTTCTTTTAAAAGACTCTGCAATATTATAACAAATGGAAATGCTGCTATATACTAAATAATACTGTGTTTAATAAATCAAATTAAAATATAACTTACTTTTATAACAAAATCTAGATTACTTAAAGCAGTCGATGCTACAAAAAAATGTCTTTCAGATTGATAACTATCTTTTTCACTTTCACTGTTTTTCTTACTGTTAATAAGTTGTTTAAGCCAGGGATACGTGTAAGGAATTTGAGTCCTTTGGTAAACTAAAAATTTTATTAACTCGACAACAATATGCCCGCAAGATATCGATGTCAACCCGTCTCCTAGATTGGTGAAATCTATTGAAATGTTCGCTTTTCGAGTAGTTTTCGGACTCATTTCAATACTCAATAAGTAAGCTTGATTAAATTCTTAGATCAATGGGTGCAAATGTATATTATTTTGTCACAAAGATTTTGAACTTCAAAAAATCCTAACGACTATTCGTACTGCAAGTCAAATGTCGTAGATTAAATGTTGCATAGAGCCATAGACTATATTGTGTTGTGCGTTTATTTCTGTCTCATAGTCCTATTCCTTGCTACAAGGGGGATAGAGAGTATTATATTGCCTGATTGAATGTATTCCAATTTTATCTAAAAGCTTTTAGCTAACATAGTAAACAAATACTATTTTAACTGATGGTATCATGGCCTGTCCCATCACTGGGCTCGCTTTTTCTTAGAACCGAGTGTTTTGGGTCATCGAGTTAACAACCATTAACCACTGCCGTCACAGTAGTTTCTTTCTTTTATTGTTATACTCGTTAATAAAAGATTCAACACAATAAAATGATGTCTCTAATCTAATCCCCACAATTTTATATCGTGTAGGCCTAGCAAGTATCTCGCTTAAGTTTTTTGATCTAGACTTTTCTGTATTAAGTTCTTAATTCAAATCGATTTTATGTTGTCACTTTTGCTCATTTGATATTTTTTTCTTCTATCAAACGATAAATATTATTATGTTCCGATTTCTAAAAATAAATGTTCAAAGTATTAACAAAAAAAATATTAAATTACCGATAAAATGTTACGCAAAAGATGTTCGTTTTGGTCCAGACGTGAGATCGTTGATGTTACAAGGTGTCGAAATTCTGGCCGATGCTGTGGCCATTACGATGGGTCCTAAAGGTCGTAATGTAATTTTGGAACAAACATTTGGCCCTCCTAAAATAACAAAAGATGGAGTAACTGTAGCTAAAGGCATTGAACTGAAAGATAAATTCCAAAATATTGGGGCAAGGCTAGTTCAAAACGTTGCAAAACAGACCAATGACGAAGCGGGGGATGGCACAACAACCGCAACGGTTTTAGCCAGGGCGATTGCTAAGGAAGGTTTTGAAAATATTTCTAAAGGTGCAAACCCAATAGAAATAAGAAAAGGCGTAATTATTGCCGTTGAAGCAGTATGTAACCATTTAAAAAAGCTATCTAAGCAAATAATTACTTCAGAGGAAATAGAACAGGTAGCAACGATTTCAGCAAACGGGGATGGAAGTATTGGTAAATTAATCGCTAATGCTATGGAGAAGGTTGGCAAAGATGGAATAATAAGTGTTAAGGACGGCAAAACCTTAAACGATGAATTAGAGATTATTGAAGGGATGAAATTTGAACGGGGTTTTGTTTCTCCTTTCTTTATTAATTCCACTAAAGGACCTAGAGTTGAGTATAATAATGCTTTAATCCTTTACTCAGAAAAAAAGATATTTCATGCCAAACAGATTGTACCAGCACTTGAAATAGCAAACACTCAAAAGAAGCCTCTCATTATTATTGCCGAAGATTATGACGGAGAACCATTATCAGTATTAGTAGTAAATAAATTAAAAATTGGACTACAAGTTGCTGCTGTAAAAGCTCCTGGTTTTGGAGAGTACAGAAAAAACGCTTTGATTGATATGGCGGTTGCTACTGGGGGAGTAATTTTTGAAGACGATATCAATTTACTCCGACTCGAAGATTGTACTTTGGAAAGTCTAGGTAAAGTAGAGGAAGTAATAATAACTAAAGATTCGACGATATTACTTAAAGGACATGGAGACAAGGATGAAATAAAACAAAGGATCAATCAAATTCAAGAGGAATATGAGCAGTGTACAAATGAACAAGAAAAGGATAAACTTTTGCAACGCCTTTCTCGACTTCGATCAGTTGTTGCTGTTTTACGAATAGGTGGATGTAGCGAAGTTGAGGTTAATGAAAAGAAAGACAGAGTAAACGATGCACTGAATGCAACCCGAGCAGCTATATCTGAGGGAATCGTTCCAGGTGGTGGAGTAGCTCTTATAAGGTGTATTCCCATATTGGATTATATAAAATCGGCTAATCCTGACCAACAGAAAGGCATTGATATAGTAAAAAAGGCTTTAAGAACTCCATGTCTTACTATAGCCAGTAATGCTGGTTACGACGGCTCAGTAATTGTTTCAAAAGTGGAAAATATGGACAACATTAACTTAGGATATGATGCTTTGAATAACACATTTGTTAATATGATAGAGAAAGGCATAATAGATCCTACTAAAGTCGTCCGCCGAGCACTTACAGATGCTAGTGGCGTAGCGTCATTATTAACAACAGCTGAAGCAGTTATTTGTGATCTGCCTATTCAAAAGGAAACCCATTCTAATAAACTTGGTCCAGATACGCAAGGAGTTACAATTTACTAACATAAATGATGAATTTCTGAAAATTTTAAGTGGTTTAGTTTTTATTTTATTTTCTTTGATAAAATATATACATTCATTAAAACATAATATTATACCTTGCTATTTAACGTTAAAGCTGTATACCTTTAATAACTTGACTGGTGTATTGGAACCTGCAACTTATTAATAGATACATTATTGCTTTAAAGATATATTATATCGTAATACAATTTGTACATACAATTAAGGATATTTTTATATTATTGTTTAAGGTAAATTAGCTCGGCTGTTTATCTGTTGGCGTGTTTGATGTCTATATTTATTGCTTTAGAACTTAACGTCAATGTCATGCACATTGCCCACGTCAAACATGTGAAAACCGCGCGAAAACCTCTATTTTATTATTGCTTTGATTGCAATTTGTTAATAACGTTAGGTCAGTGAAATATCTTAAATTACTTTAATCTCTTAGTATTTCGGATAATGTATATGCTATTAAAGCCGTTGGCAATATAGCTACATCCCGTAATTAATAAAAACGTATAATGGCGGCTCTTGAAGAGCACAATAGTTTAAGTAATTTTTTGAACAGCCAAAACTCTAATATCAATACTGATATCAATCAAGCATCAAGTGATGATGAAGATTTGGTAAGGCTTGTAAAAAAGCCAAATAAACGCTTAACTAGCGGGTCAACTACAAGTGATGATGATGTTGACCAAACAACACACTCGTCTGAAATCATTAAAAACACAGTATCTGGAAACCGAAAATCAAGAATCCGGAATCGAAGATGTAGTTCAAGTACCTCAAGTGATAATGACACTGCTAGTTCTAAATTACCGACACGAAACAAGAAAAAGAAACTCAGCGAGAAATTCAGTAAATTAAAGTCGAAAAATAAATTATCTATCAGAAACAGTACAGGAAGTGATGACGAAAATGAATCTTTTACTGAGACAAAAGAGGTATGTACCAATAATACAATTTAAATAGTTTTAAAATATCTCTACAACTGTAATTTGTGTACACAACTACTACTACTAAATAAATATATTAAGAATATGTTTACTATCTTTATTATAATATAGAACTAAAGCTCTATAATGCTACTTTTTTCTATTATATTATAGACGATAGAAGGTATTTAATAAGTGTTATTTTCTGTAGAATATTGTTTTAGCTAAGACCAATATTGCTTTATCCGTTTGTGAACCAGATGAATCTGATGATGAGGAGAATAGTATTAACCACATAAAGAAAATAATTGGTTCAAAATCAACACTTCCCACTGTGAAGTCTAAGCCTGTAAGTAATACTTAAATCTTTATTTTTTTCGAAAAGCAAACCAACATATTATCTTTCTATTTTATAATTGTGAGTGCTAAACTTATAAATGTTTGATGTCTTTTGTAGAAATAGAAATATATTATAATTATAATATGATTGACATGTCGACAAATCATACTAAATGAATTCAAAAAATGTACAATCCTCAACATGGACCAAACACATACATCTCTCTACCCGTTATACTCATTAGTTTTTTTGCAGCTACTTTGCTACAAAATATTTTTGTGTTGTGAACCCGAACATCTCACACTTATCACAATGGTGTTAAGCAGTCATTTACTGTTTTTATTGTATTATTTTATATGTAATATATTATGTTCATTTTATTTTTTTACTAGATGTCAGCCAGAGAAGCTATGGAAAATATGCAAAAAATTAAAAGTGAGTCTAATCGCATGTTAAGAGAAAAGGAGGTTTCACTGCCTTATCATAGGCCTAAAGCATTATCTCTAAAAGATATTATGAGTAGACGGAGACCTGCTGTATCCAGCGATGGCAAGACGTTGCCTATTAAAATGAATGAGGAACAGTTAAAACAATATGCGTAAGTGAACATACCTCTTACAAAACTTCTTTATTAATTGTATTTGTCATGTCTTCATAGCACTTTTGTTTCAGCATGATGTTAGAAGAAAGACAAAAAGAAATGATGGAGTTATGTAAAAGTGATACAGATGAAGATAACAATGAATTAAATGAAAGTGAGGTGCAAAGTACCTCAGAAGCAATCAATATAGAAAACAAATTAGGAGAAAGTAAAAGTGATGAAGGGCTTGCTAAAGCAAATGATGTAAGTTTTGATGAGATTGCTAAAGATAGTACCAGTAAAGCTAGTGATGATATTGCTAATGATAGTACCAGTAAAGCATGTGATGAGATTGCTAAAGATAGTACCAGTAAAGCTAGTGATGAGGATACTGAAAGTTTACCAAACTCTGAAAGTATGGAAAAGTTTATTAATAATGGTCAACAAATATTAGAAAACTCTAATGATTCACAAGCCATAACTGATGATGACATTGATATAACTTTTGACAAAACAAATTACCAATCCATTAATGTTGATAATGATCAAAAACAAAAAGAAGTTACTCCGTTTGAAAGTGAGACTATAGAACATGACGTATTATCCAACTCTACTGGAAATACTAAAATAAATGATCAAGTTGAAACAATTAAAGACTATGAAGCTTTAAATTTAAGTGATCACAATATAGATGCAGAAAAAAACAAGGATGTGGAAAGCTTATGTACTAAAAGTAAAGCTATTTCAAAAGAGCAAAATATAGAAACATTTTCAGATGGTGAAATCGATTATGATGACCTAGATGCTATTATTGAAAATGCAGAATTGTCTTCAGGTATAAAGATCAGCTACATTTTGTAAGGTTTGAAAATTACCTCCAAAATTACAGTTTTTATTTTCCATATTTTTTCAGATACAAGTAATAATATCAAAAACATTAGTAACAAAATACCTAAATTAACTGGTGCTGCAGGTATGGTTATAAGTTTAGATGATGAAGAACCAATATTAAAACCAAGTGGTGTGGAATTATTAAAAGAAAGATTTACATACTTTGCCAAGCTTCAAAATCAGGAAGATATCAAAAAGGATAGGGAGAAAATGTAAGAATCTTTGTTTTATATGAGACTGTTACCCCAATGAAATTTTTACAATTATTATTTCTGTCATAGGTATAAGCCTGGCACTCAACATATAAAATTGAAACAAAAGCTAGAAGAAGAAATAGCTGAACAAAGATCGATGGAGTGGGCAAAACGTCTTGAGGAAGAAAAAATATTAAAGTCGGAAGAAAAAGCAATTTTGGGAGATGATTCTATGGAGGATATAGATAAAATTGAAGCCAAACTAGAAGAATTAAATAAAGAAATGAGTATAGACGACAATGATGATGGTGAGTGTGACGAAGATTTGATTGAAGATGATATTGATATGACAGATAAACAAAAACAACGAAATCCAATGATTGAAGACGAGGCAGAAGAATCTGAAGATGATGTAGATAATGCTGATGACAATGCAAAAGATAGTGCTGAACGCGATGACGAAAACGATGCGAATGTTGCTGATGATGAAGACGACGATGCTGTTGATGATGAAGAGAGTGAAACTGAGAGCTCTGAATCAGAAAACGAAGATGAACAGCGTAAACCGAAAAAGGGTAGAATATTAAAGGCGTTTGTCGATTCTGATGATGAAGAGGTCCTAGAAAATAAGACTGAGGATGGTGATGATGATTCTAAAATAACTTCAACAGAAACTGCCGTTACCCTTACTCAAGATAAGATAACTCAAGGTAATATATCAACGTGAAATAATATTTAAGAAAAAATAAATAAATAGAGTCTATTGTCTATTGTTCACGCCTTTGCCGGCAAAGCAAATTATTGCATCCATTCAACTCTTCAAGCCTACACACGTAATCAAGTCACAAAAATGTTACTGGTCCTAAATTATGCTAAAATTAAAATAGTGCATTAACAAATAAAATTATGTCTATGTATAAAAAGGTGTGAAAATAATTTTGTCGAATATGCATAATTTTCAGATGAAGAATTACAACTAGCGCAAGCAAATAAATCATTGTCCGAAGACATATTTGCTAGTCAAGACTCAACATGTCCAGTGGTAACAATTAACAACAACAGCGAGGGAATGACAAGTGGGGAACTAGGCACATTTTCAATACTTACAGATAGAGATTTACCTAACAAAGATCTAAAATCTGGTACTTCAGACCTCGGACAGAGTGATGTGTGTATATTCTATATTATGAACGGCAGATAATTTTGTATCTATTTCAGTACATTAAATTTATCAAAGTAGAATACCACACAGTTACAACAAAACCTACTATTATACCCTACAATGAAAACCCAGGACGACTAATACGCGTTATTACTTATTTTCTTTTTGGGACACCAAACGATGGCCGGATAATCAATCCACACCATTTGTTACCTTTTTTACCTATAGTAATTTATACAATATAGCCGGTGTATATTATGCAACTATTAGACTTAAATTGTATCACTAAATCTAGCGCCGCGGTAAGCACGATTTGACGAAGTTTTGACTTTAAATCATGGGGAAATAATAAATTGAACTTCACAAAAGTCTGTCTAAAAGCAAATTGATCTGTACCAGATACTTAGAAATATGTTTGGTCCATTTTACTTTTCCCGTTATTTGAGCCAATTTTACTGAATTATTTTTTCAAATTTCAGGCCAGTTTAACACAAATAGCTGGAACTTTTACACAAAATATAGTTTTACCCACGCAGAAATCTCAAGATTCGCATTCTTTAGAATTCGGTGATGATATAGCAGCACTTTGTACTGGAAAATTCTATGAAAACCAGTTTATTTCACAAACTACCGATGAAGGATTACAAGCTTCTAACATAGATAATGAAGATGTACCTCTTGAAATTATTAAAGTTAAGGAAACCGATACAGATATAAATGAAAAAAACCCTGACAAAGTAAATTCAAGCAAAAGCAATAATTTGATTCTGCAAACAGACAAACAGACAGAAAATGTAGATAAAAGTAAAAAGATTGCAGATACTGTTTTATTGAAATCTATCTTAGACGAATTAGACGATCCAGAATTTGATAAACCCAAACAAAACAAATTCTTCACACCACCTTCTGAGAATACTAAAAAGATGGTGATTGACTCAGATGATGATATGACTGATGATTTAAAACAAAAAAGTAAAAAGAAAAAGAAGAAACGCCCAGAAACTCGAGCTTTACAAATTTCTGGTAAGCCTACAGATCACTCGTTAGCGATAAGTCCGCCCACAAACAAAAATATAAACGAGACTTATATACTAAAAATATGGAGTGAAATTTTTAGTATATAAGTCTCGTTTATATTTTTGTTAATTTTTTTGTGCGATAAAGAAAACACTAATCCGATTATATAATGAAGCATCAACTCCAAAACGGTTTGCAGCAATAGTATTTTTATTGCTTTTTTTTCGTTGTTATAATAATCGTTAGCTTAGGTGCCTTTTCTTATTTTTTTTTTATTGTAGATGACGAAGATGAAATGCAAACAGACGATGAAGATTCAGATAGAAATGATGACCATGATGATGAAGGTGTCGAAAAAGTTTATGAATATGACTCAGAGGAAAATGAAGTAAGTGTCTCTGTTTGTTTCATAGGCTAAAAATGTGTTCATTCATTGCTTTAGGTTATTTTTATTTTTAATATTAGATTTATATAAAAATAATAATTATTGATTGAGCGTATCGTGTAATTTATCACAAATTAAGCTGCCACACCATAATCTGTTTAACAATATTATATTTATTTACATCTTCAGTTGCAATGATTTTTTTATGTTATGTTGTGTATGATCTCACCAAATTATACATATTATTTCAGGTAGAAGTACTCGATAAGCCTAAGAAGAAGAAAAGAATAGGTGAATTCTTCGAAAACGAAGCTGAGTTAACATCAGAGGATGAGTGGGCCGGCTCTGGAGACGAGGACGAAGCAGGTCTGGATAGAATGGAACGGGAGGAGGGAGACGACGAAGTTTTCCACCAGGGGAAACTGCAGAGGGAGTTGGGGCAAATACATATGTAAGTGGCCAATTATTTTTAGACAAAGTTATAGTGAAATTATAAAAATCAAAAAAAGAGGTAGGTAGCGACCCTATATGCCCGGAGTGTAGAGAAAGTGAGGAAACAAGCGTGTATCTACTGACAACTCTACGTACTCGAGATTAAGGCGCAAATACAAATATCAAAGAATTGATGATGGAACAAATAGTATAGAATTCTGCAAGCAAACCGGAAGGTTCGAAGGGGACACAGTGAGTGTTGGATAACCCAGAAATCCTCTACAGGAAAGAAATGGGATAATGGGTGAAATGGTCAGCTGATGGTGTGGACTCGTCGTGTTTTTAATTTATACATTTACGTAATTTTATTTCACACTTTCTAGTAAAGTCTAATATATTTTCTGTTGTTGTTTTAGGCGCGAAGTTCTAGATCAAGACAAACGAGAAGTGCGCCTCATACAGGAGTTACTGTTTGAAGATGCTGATTTAGGCGATGGGCACAGGCAGAGGAAATTTCGATGGAAGAATATAGGTAACTAAAATATTTAAAAATCACCTACATCAAATATCCATTCGCAGCAAGGGTCTAGGAACAAAAAAATGTTTAAACTTCTTTCATTGCTTGGTGATATCATTCGTGATGGCAAAACGTCGATCTCTCAACTATCAAAAATATATAATTAAAAGGTAATAATAATCTAATAATCCGCAGATGGAGAAGATGAATCTGGTACAGTACCAGATGAACTCGATACGCAAGAAGAGGAGTTTGAATCCGAGGAGATGTGGCGAAAACAGAGACACGAAAGGGAAATGTTTTTAAGGAAAATGGTATGTTGCTCTTTACAGTATGGAAAGATACACTTACTAAAGTAACGATTTACATAGAGACCCAATTACGCTGAAGTTTTATTATACAAATATCAAAATCGGATTTTAAGATACCTTTCTTGTCATTGGTTCTTGAATGTTTTACAGTATTAGGAAATGTCATTTAATTTAATTATTTTTATAATACACAAAAGATGGCATTGGGATCTAAATTCAAGCCAAGTTGAGTAATTCCAACAGTGATAGTTAGTACTGTTACTATATGTATTTACAAAAAATACTGGGTGCTATCTGACTTATCACATTTATTAGGCGGCACAGGTTTTGAGCGTATTTGTAAAATTTAATTAAAGTCGGTTGTGTAGTTTCAAGAACTCTTTTTATAAAAAACGAAAAACAATAAACGAATGACAATCATTGATAACTGCAAAGTGCGTGTTGGTAAAATTCAACGACATTTAACTCTATTGATAAGTTTGACAACGCCCTATATGTATTGTCTATGGTATATTATAATATAATTAAAATTGAATTACAGCAAGAAAACGACGAAGACCTCAACACGAGTATAAACAGAAGTGCGATTATAAAGGCGAATCTGTCATCGAGAACAATGTCAAACCTAATAGCAGAAAGCGCGCAAAATGCGGAAAAGGATGCTTCAGTGCCTGAAAAGAAAACCGCTAAAGAAATACCTAGTCCTAAGAAGACATTCGCTATTCTTGGGGTAAACTTAATTTAAGTTTAGTTAGTTACAACTCAACAACAGTCGACTTATTTTGGAGCTCGGAAATGCACAGACTAAAACTTCTCGGCTTTTTTATCTGTGGACCGTCGTCATCTAAACTTTTGATATTCCTACCACCCATTTAATATTGAGATTTGGCCGAAATTCAACATGTTTCAGAAAAATAAATTGATTGAAATCGTGTTGGACCCGACTCGGATACGAACACACTACCATATGTTACGAAATTTTCCGAACCGTCGTAGAAATAGCTTTGTGTGAATTAAAAAAAAAGACAAAACAGCACCCTATATTTTAATATTGTTTTGCAGAACAACTATCATGGCTCCTATCTAACGCGTGGACGTGGGACTTTGGCCCGCCTTGCGGCGTTGGCTACTCCTCTAGTGGCAGACGATGACGTTCCCAAAATCCTCGCTTCAGCGCGAGGCAACTTCGTATTCACAGCTCGTAGTGATGAGGAGCCTAAGGTATATAGTACCTTGTACTTGTACTCTAATAAGCCTGGATAACAAAGACACTGCTTAGGATTTAATTTATCTTTTTCATATTACAGGTTAAGAAACGAAAAGCCGAAGCCAACGTAAACACACCTCCGTTAATAAAAAAAATGAGGACAAAAGAACACAAAGCAAGCTTATTCGATCGCCTTCGTGACTGAATTATTGTTTTATCTGTAAATATTAGTAAAGTTTTGAATAGTTTTATAAAGACGAAAGATGTAACATGTTAAACAACTTGTACACTGACGTGGTTTTATTTATTGCACATAAATTTAGTTGCTCTTAATATTCAAAGACCTTTGTCTAAGTATAAAGAAAAAAAAGAAATATAGAATAGATTTATTTAATTCAATGCTGTTGAGAGTTTTCAACACGATCGCGACCCATCGTTCTTGCATATTAACCTTAAAAGATAGACACATAGTGTCGTTGACATTTTTTTTATATCATTTAAAGAGGAATCAACCTTCATACATATTTTTTGGGTATCTTGAACCGATTTCTCAGTGCAAACAAAACAAACTCTTCAGCGTAAATATTAGTATAAATATACACATTAAACTTTAAATATATTGTTAATTCTTTGTAACGACATCTAGCACTTAAGGGACATTTTCATCTATACAGATGATTAAGTAGATCATTTAAAAAAAATCAAATTTTAGTCTGTAGATAAGATTAATATAGCCAGTTAACTTTGTCTGATCTTTGTTATACATTTCGCCATCTCTTGATATGCGGTGAAACTTTTTTGATTGAACAATAAGAATTTCTCAATTATCTTAACAGCATCGAGCGCTTGTTGAATTGTTGGTGGTGGCTCAGATTCACCGGTACTGGTAGTCACATTCGTATCAATGTCCAGCGCTTCATCATTAATTTTACCATAGATTATATTGTGACGGTGCTTCAATTTACCCAACCAACCTTCCGAAGATTTAAAATTAACGATGCCAAGTTTTTCAGCGAGCTTCTTAGCTTTTGCTTTAATAATCGGACCCGAGATTGGTATATTACTCTTGCGCTGCTGTTTCAACCACGACAAAATCGCTTGATCTAACTCTTCGAATTTTGGCTTCCTTAATTTTTTAGAAGACTTTCCCTCCAGTTCCGCCCGCCGAATTGCCTCTTTATTTTTCCAAATTGTAGCAACAGTTGAATGACTTAGTTCAAGACGTCTTCCGACGTCGCTTTTCTTTTCTCCATTTTCAATCGCATGTATCACATAAGCTTTTTCTCTAATGCTTAACGCTTTTCTTTTACTGGCCATCTTCGTAAGCTCCTATAGCTTAGTTCGAGACCATTATTTTCAATCATTCAAACAAACTTTTTCATGAATGCCCGTATTTATGGGAATTAACAAATAGAAAAGCAAAATAATAGTTTTTGGACCAAGTTTTGAGGTAGTCGGCGTTTTTAGTATACTGATAAGATAGCATAAACAATAACACTCACAATAACGATTTCTGTCTCATAATAACAACACATTTCATCGCAACAGAGAATGTCTGCTGCGCAATAACGAATGTATCAATGTGTGAATTGTAAGGTAACCCTACCCAAGTATATAGTGTTTTTTCTGTTATAGAGAGTTTTTTTTATAAAGAATTATATTATAAAGAGTCAAACTATTAATAATGTAATGTAAAGTTAGTCGTTATAATCCGGGAAATATGTTTTTTTCTGCTTATATATTTAGTAATATATAAATAATTGAATTAAATTAAAGCTGATGCGCGCAATTTTTAACAACCACAACTTTAAATTTCTAAACTGGCAATTTACGCTGTGTTGAGATGTTGGCCAAACTGTCCAAAGCTGTATCCTTCCGTTTTTTATCTCTTTCATACACTTAAAAGACAGAAGGTGCATCCCGCTCTCTCCGCTCTTGTGAACTGCACCCGCAGCCCGCGCGCCCTTCAGTCAGATCCCCCGCCTCGGCTTTCTCGTATCTCGTTCAATCAAAATCAATGCCTTTTCTGTAGGCTCGTAGTGTGGTGTGGAAAACTTTCTAGTTGTAAAATTAATCGTTTAGTACACAGTATAAAAAAAGCAGTGTTTTTTTAAAATGGCTAACGATTTAAAAGAAATTATCGATATAGTCAGGAAATGCAAAATTCTACTTCTAGACATCGAGGGAACGACAACATCGATCAGCTTTGTTAAGGTAGGTCTATTTATTGGCCGGCCGGTGTTTTGTTTTAACATGTGATTTATCACATGGTACCATCTGTTTAACTTTTTAAGCTCACAATAATTTTGTGTAGCTTATTCTAGGACATTGCCATTGTCCTACATCTCTGATACATTGCAAAATGGGCGCGATTATGGATTCGCAACATGGAGGACAAATTCAAAATGGTACCCCTAACCTACCTATTCCTTGAAATTGTCCTAAATTTTATTAAAATCAGATAACGTTGTCAATTAATAAAATGGTGCGAGTTATCTAAAGAGGTTATCAAAATTACTGTGCTCTCGAACCCTGAACATATAACTAGATGTACATATTTGGATTTTTTTATTCAAAATGTCTTTAAATTATCTCTATATATGTAATAATTTTATAACCGAAAATAATAATATTGTAAAAACAAGACACATTTGAATTTAATCCTGAGCCGGCGTAAACAGCTGTTCGTTGCAGCTGGCAGGTAAAAAAATGTGGAACAGTTAACTTTGAATAGGTGCCATGTTGTAAAGGCTGTCTCTTTCTCTCGTTTGATCCGTATATCAAATCGAGATAGAGATAAAAAATTATATCGTGTTATACGTTCGTGCGTGGTAGCTTGCCGAGACAATGGCTTCATACATTTTTTGCACACTTTTACTTTCATGAATGTTGATGAACTCTTTTAAGTATAAGGATAATAATTTTACAACTTCAGCACTATGCTTTTCAAACAAATTTAATTAATAGATAGTCAAGTTGTGTTTCTCGATGCATTAAAAAGTCGTAAGTTCAAAAACGTATCATCACTGGTCTTAATTTTTGATGGCTTTTCCATTCTAAAAAAAAATTATCAATTCTGATAAACTCCTTTTGTTTTTTTGTCCTTGTAAAAAACCTAAAAAAAAAATGTTTTTATACATTCATTTAGTAAAGACTGTCATTTGAATATGATACCTATTGAAAATAAAATTTTAATGTTAAGTAAAAATTATTACTTGTTATTATTTATTAATACCTAATACCTAGATTGATCATTCTCTTATAATAACTTTAGCATAGGTTACATTTCTTTAAACAATAATGATAGAGGTTTTCAATTTATATCACAAATAAATGATTAGTTACAATACTGTTTATTACAATATACATATACATTGTTTAAAAACCCAAAATCGTTACTATACTTCAAATTCAGATATTTGTTAAAACTAGCTTAACATTTGTGCAGAAGGCACTCAGTGGACTCGGTTTTAGCTTAAAAAAATTGGTTTCATTCCTGAGCACTTCACTTCCTGGATACTGATTACTACACATCAATAGACTTAATTATTACAACAGTTAATTTAGTGTAAATAAAAAAGAAAGTTGTGCTATTCTTTATTAAATTTTCTACATGGTTAGTATAGACAAACACCTTTAATAAAGACTCAACAAATAGATTGAAATGTTTTGTTGGATAAAACAATCGTAAAAACATTTCTTTCTACATATAATTTTAGCAAACCAAAACTTTAATTTAAGTAGTTAGTTCTAACAAAATTGTTTATTCTTGATTATAAGTATGTTAAATAGTAACTTAGTAAGGATGGATTCAAAAAACATAATATTTTTCACATGCACATGATGGCACTATATAATTTAAAAATCGATTTTTAATTTATAAGGATGGATTAATTTCGCACTACAATGTCTTCAATAAAATCTCGTCTTGAGAGAGTAGTTTGTTTTTTGGAACGTATAAAGAGTAATCATTATTTCCTACATAGTTTTTGGGTATCTTGGGCCGTTTTCGCAGCGCATGCACAGAAACCCACAGAGATTAATCATTTTCCAGTTTTTTTCTACATTTCCCGCTTCTATTAGTCACAGCGTAATGTTTTATCGCCTTTAACCTTCCTCGATAAATCTTCTAACCAACACAAAAAAAAACCAGTTTTCAATTCGAACTAGTAGTTCCTGAGATTAGAGCGTTCAAGCATACAAACAAACTCTTCAGCTTTCTATATTAAGTAGTATAGATTCTCCTGTCACGGCGTTTGTTGTTGTGTCACGCGGTTCCGCCAAAACGGCTAAACTGATTTTCATGAAATTTTGTGTATTTAAAATTCGGTAAGTCTAAATAGGTTTTAATGTATTTTTGTCTCATTCACTTATAAACTATATCCTCACATTGACAATAAGCTAGTTACTAACAAAACTAGCTGTGCCCGCGACTTCGTTCGCGTGGAATAGTGACTTGGGGTAGAATTTTTAATTATTTAGGCTATTTATTAATTTATGTAATTGCGCATTTATCGCAGCCAATCTATGTTGTAAGTGCTACTTTGCCGCAACACTCTCACCTCACATCACTCCTACCCTAACTCCCACTACCACTCCTATTCCCAAAAAGCCAAAGAAGAAAGTTTCATTGTTCTAGTTTCAAAAACCACGAATTTCCATACAAACTGTCAACTCCCTTCCCCCCCCCAACCCTTTACAACCCCCTTTCGCAATAAAAAGGGATTCTTTCTCAGGGATTCTCAGGGTCTAAACTATCTGTGTACCAAATTTCATTCAAATCCGTTCAATAGTTTTGGCGTGAAAGAGTAACAGACAGACAGAGTTACTTTCGCATTTATAATATTAAGTAAAGATACTCTCTAGAATTAATTTTTATGGTAAATCATGTGCTGGGTCAACTAATAGTACTTATTTATAAACGACGTAAGTTCAATTGCGATAACCCTGAAAAGACGTTGTCTATTTATCGGCGAAACGAGAGTTGTAAATTAGGGTGTGCTTCAAATATTCAGATCATTCTGTTGATCTACAGCGGCTATCTGGTTGGCTAGGCAACCTAGCCGGTTTGGGTAGCGCCTTCGCAGTTCGTTCAACCCACCCCACTGTCTCACTGTACTGCAGTTTCACTGGGATCGTTTAAATACTGAACTATAAATAGTATAATTACGATCTCATGCTAAACCTGAGTTGCGAAGATTGCGTATACATTTACGAGGCATGACAATATAACTCTTGGTTTAAATTAACAGTGTATTAACTCTTGAAAACTTTATTATTTACTGTCTATAGTTTACGCGAGTAGTACACATGTAAAAAAAAAACACTAACGGTTTAAAACGCGATATATTAGTTAAACTTATTTGGAAATGATTTTTAACTTTCGCCCGACGTTTCGGATACTTTGCAGCAGCCGTGGTCACGGGGAGCTGAGTTTAACTAATATATCGCGTTTTAAACCGTTAAAGTGTTTTATTTAAACTTTATTATTTCTTACATGTAGGCACTATATAATTTAAAAATCGAAAATAAATTGAAAAAGTTTTCGTCCTGCCCGAGTCGAAATTTTTTTCTATTTTTAAAGTACTCTATTATCAAATTGTAAATATATTCACCAATACATTTCGCGTTTTTCACGGTTAAAATTGTTCTATTCGCGTAAACTACAAACAATACCTACTTAGTATAAATTTCTTGTAAATGTGTATCAATAAAAATACGATATACAGTAAAAAAACGTTATTATCTTTATAATTATTAAGAAAAAGATTTGAACTAAGCTATATATGATTTCAGAATTTTACATTTAATTAAAAATTTATTTTAGATTTAAAAAAAAATACAAGACAGGTTGGACTTGAACCGGCATTGTTGGTTAAAGCAACTACTACCGTGTCTTACACTACATTCTTACTTACCCTCGCTTAAAAGTTTATTATTTTTATTTCGATTAACTTTTTTGTAAGAATTGAAAAAAACTAGAGTAGGTTAAGAGATGGTTAAACCTATCTCATAAACATATTTATTATTCTTTATTTCATATGATAGTGTGATACAGGTTTTATTTATTTAGGATGATATTGATTCCAGACTTCCACGCATATCAATGTTCTGGCACGTATCAATCCATTTTATAGACGGTGATATTTCCAAGTCTTTGATGTTCTTCAGATTAAGAGGGATATTTTAAACGTGATTTAATTGATAGTTCAAGTCTGACTCGACGTTGTGTAACTGTACAAGATAATATACTTATTAACTTGTTTAATAAATATGTAATGTACCTACCTACCTAATATATTTTGTAATGATAAAAACATTAAGGTGCCTTTGGACAATAACGACTCCGAAACGGGAAACAATTCCTAAAGGCTAGTTTACATTGCTATTGTAGATAATTGCAGGTACTGTTCCGTTTTGTTGGTTCTAAGAAGGTCTTTGTTCTCCCTTACCTGACGAAAAGAAGTGATCTTGCGACTCGTATTTGCCTTTGTCCGCTAGTCAATTTAGAGGATATAATATGCTGCAGCACTATGATCAAAATGTTTTTTATAATTAATAGTTATAAAAGCAATTTAAATGCCATGATCGCGGTGGCGCCTGCTGCAAACAAGAGCACCCAAAATGTAGGTTCCACGTTCGTCGTTTGTTTGTTAACTTACAACAGAATCGGATTTTAACTCGTTTACATTAGTTTTAAACGGGATTCCTTTTCTAGGTTGGAATAAATTGTTTGGATCGCAGGGAAAGTGAAAGTTGTTTCGGTCGGGCAGGACACAAAAGTCTGATCAACTACTTGCTCGTAAATAAAAACGATTAATGAGACGGACAGTCATGGGAAATGATCTTTTATTTTTTAATAAACGTAAAGAAATTAGCTAATACCAAAGCTTAGCTTGTACCAATATGTAGCCAATAGTCTTATTAACTTTTTGTTTTGGGCATCGGATTTCAATTAAACGGAACATATATTGCCATAATAAGCTTAAATGTGAAGACAAAAGTATACAGTACTTTCGAAGACGTGTATGTAAGTACATACACTCAAAGAACATAAATAACAAATGCTGACCAGAAGTAATATTTTTTATTCCGTCACTGACAAATTCACAATTTCGTTATGTATTTGATATACTTTTTGTGTCTCAATAGGTTTATAATCTCTTGATGTATTTTTCTTAATATATGTAGGTATGTGCTCAAAAGATTTAATCTTACTTTATTTTCCCATAGGATAAGTTGTTCCCATATGCTGAGGAAAATGTCAAGAAGTTCCTGGAGAGCCAGTGGGACAATGAAGATGTGAAGGAGGCCGTGATTGCGCTGAGGAAGCTAGCCCTTGAAGATCAGGAAAAGAAAGTTGAGGGCGTTGTTGCTATTCCTGGAGAGGTACATTTATTTGATTGCATATTAATTTAATTTATTTATTTACGCTCAGATAACCCAATCTATACGAATATCTAAAGAAGACTTTATTTAAATAAAACACTAACGGTTTAAAACGCGATATATTATTAAAACTTATTTGAAAATGATTATTAACTTCGGCCCAACGTTTTGGATGCTTTGCAGCAGCCGTGGTCACGGGGACCCATCAAATAAGTTTAACTAATTAATCGCGTTTTAAACCGTTGAAGTGTTTTATTTAAATGTGTACGACTCGCGTAAACTATAGACAGTTTTAAGGAGTTTGTTTATTTAAACGCGCTAATCCCAGGAACTACTGTTTCGAATTGAAAAATTATTTTTCGTTGGTTGGACCATTTATCGATGGCAACATCAGGCCAACCAATAGAAGCATAAACGCCAGAGGGAAATACGGAAAAAACAAGGAATAATTTTCATCTTTCGGTTTCCGTTACTAACTACATTACTAAATAATATACAATTATAACTTATACATTAAAGTTAACTTCGATTTCAATACACAGTTAAAATTCTTGTGAAATTATATTCGTGTTCATACTTTTTTTTTACTGATAAACGAAACTAATTATGTTATATCTTCTTTCATTGAGAAAACAAGATTTCGAATTGTTTTAATTTTTAAATATTAATCAAACACAAATACTCAACATCGTCAGGCCAAGCCCCAAAGTAACTCTTGGTTTTCAAGCACCAACTTATTTTTATATGTGGTTTAATAATTAAAATTACTATCTTTAAAATAAAATTACTAATTTCAGAACTCCTCCAAAGAAGATCAGATTGAGGGGCTAGTAAACAATGTGAAGTGGCAAATGTCTTCGGACCGTAAAGAAGGTGCTCTCAAGCAATTGCAGGGACTAATTTGGAAGCAGGGTTATGAGAATGGTGAAATTAAGGGGCAGTGAGTATAACACAAATATAATTTATTTATCGTCGAAGACTACAAAAGGATTAAACATATTATGTACTGTCTATTTTGACGGGCTTGTTAATTTAATAATAGCAATATAGTTCTCACCGGGTCCAACATAAAGTCGAACAAGTTGATCTAGTCATCTGGAATTCTAGATGTGTGCTAGGGATATCGGAATTCTGTCCGGATCACGAATCATTGTTCACAAATGAAACAGCTGTGAAATTTAATCACATTTCGTTTTCATTCTTTGTTATCGAACTAGAAAAGCCAAAATAGGCCGACAGCGCATCTATTGAACCCCATGCTTGTATGTCATAAAAAAAAGTTCCGCGAGGGGAACTTTTAATAGTCTGAAACGAACTGACTTTTCGCCTGCTTTGCGGCAGAAAACGCATAAGAATAAGATGTCTTTAGCATTTTGTTTATATTAGTTTGACAGGCTTTTTTTGTGCCCTAAAACGATTAGGCATTGCAACTAATATACAAAATAATGTAATCAATAGTACAATTTTTTATTTTAAACAATTGTGTAAGAAGCATATCAAACCACATTGAGTTAAAATGATGTGATTACAATATAGTTTATCATTTCAGCGTTTACGATGACGTTATGCCAGCTCTGGAGCAATGGCGCTCGGTTGATGGGCAGAAGGTGTACATATACTCGTCTGGTTCGGTGCAGGCTCAAAAACTCTTATTTGGACAGTCTCTTGCTGGTGATCTGCTCAAATTTATAGATGGCCATTTCGATACTGCGGTCGGTGCTAAACAAGAAGTGTCAAGTTATAAGGCTATTGTGGAAAAGATTGGGTGTGCTGCTGAAGAAATTTTGTTCCTGACTGATATAGTTAAAGGTAAGATGTAAACCATATTTTTTGAATAAAATCAATCAATGCATTGGTTTTATAATAAGACTAACAACAAAAAACTTTTTAACTGCGGCCTGACGTTTCGGATGCTTTGCAGCAGCCGTGGTCACGAGGAGACCTAATTAATATATCGCGTTTTAAACCGTTAGTGTTTTATTTAAATGTGTACTACTCGCGTAAACTATAGACAGTATTTAGTTAAAAGTAGTGTTAAGTTCATGCATAAAGGTAATTAAAATAGGAATTGTCATTAAGTTACTTTTAAATATAAAGCGCTTTAGTCTCTTGTTTCAAGTGTTTTTTTTATGATAGAGGAGGACAGTAGGTGAAATATTTCTGCCTATAGCATCTAAAAATTGTGCACTGTTAACCTATTTTGTCTTTGTATATTCTGAAATCCACAGACTGAAAAGTGAAACGTGATGAAACTTCACGGCTCTTTCATCTGTAGACGGTGGATGGAGTTTCGATATTCCTACCATCCATTTAATATCCAAATTTCCAGATAAGGGCCAACATGTTTGAGAAATAAAATAAATGAATTGAGTAGAATGTTGGACCTGGTGGGATCTTACCCACGACCGGTTAAAATTATTTACCCGTCAAAACGTGGCTATACGGAGAGGCTAGTGTTTCTGTCGAAAGGTTAAAATTGTCAATTCTATGGTGCACATCCTAACGGGTTTCTTTTTATCCCACAAATTCTAATTACAGAAGCGGAAGCGGCTAAGAACGCCGGTCTATACGCAGCTGTTGTAAGCCGTGAAGGCAATGCACCCCTTCCCGAGGAATCGGCTAATTCATATCCAGTTATCAAGACCTTCAGTCAGCTCACGGCCTCCAACAAACGCAAGACCGAACCACAGGTGCCACTTCGATGATCTTACACTGTAGCCAGCTTTGCATGCACTATGTATTTATTGTATTTGGTGTCTGAGGTTAGTATGTAGATAGTTCCATAAAGATGTTATGATTTGTTGGACAACTGAAAAAAAAATCCTTTATTATAATATGCATTCTGATTTGTAAATCATTCCATCTTTATTGATAGATATTATTGTTATATTAAGTGTTATTTAGTTATATGGTGATGGATAAGCAAACTTGTCTTGTGCTAATAAACTTTACTTTTTGTGTAGTAAAGATTTTAAATTACAATTTGTTATTTATATTCAATGTTAAATCTCTTGGAATAAAGGAAATCTTTTCAAAAATGTATATTATTTATTTCATTCTGCATTTCTTTTAATATCGTTTTATTTATACTTATTACTTTTACTTCCTTATTTTGTGTCTTTTAATAATAAATCACTTTATTGCACAAACAAATAAAATACAAATATAGTAAGACTAAAATTATTATTTACATAAAAGAGTTTTTAATAACAATTATGAACTGAATGACAATTGATTTAAATCAATACATATATTGCTTGTCGATTTCAGGAGGAACAACCTGCAAAAGTTGCTAAAACAGACATTAATGATGATGTTAAGTCTTCGACGGATTCATCTTCCTCGTTAAAAGAGAAAGAAGTTGAGCCTGTTAAAAACGACTCGGAATCAAAGAATATGGAGGTCGATGATGAGAGTTGCAGATGACGTAAAAGTTGCCCCGAAATTCAAACAACTATAGAGGAAGTAACAGATTCCAATGAAATCGATGCCCCTGTTTGTGATATTGAACCGATAATTACGGAAGCAGTGACAGAAAAAAGTGAAGAGACAATGGATACTGAAATTGTTAATGGCAATGACAGCACTGAAAAGAAGGCTGAGGAAATGGAGAGTAGTGAATCAAAAGATGTTACAGATGTGCCAAAAGACGAGGTCAATGTTAAAGATAACGGTCCCGTCGCTAAAGAAACTTCCCCTGCTATAATTACCGAAATAGAAGAAATTACTAATGAGAAGGAATCTTTGGCGGATGTAGCTGAAATAATTGAAGGTTTAGAACCTGTTGTTGAAGAACCTACCGCTGTCGTTGAGATGGAAAATCTACAAAACGCAGGGGAGGAATTGGAAAAAGAATGCGATGAAATTTTGTCTAAAATGAACGAGGTTGCAAATTTGGAAAATATACAGGTTAAGCCTATGCTGAAACCGATTATGGAAGAGCCCATGGAAGTTGAATGTGTTGATAAGGTTTCAGAAACTGAGGTATCTACAGAAAATGACAAAGTATCTGATGCAAACAAGGAGATAACGCAAGACTTAAACAATGGTAATGCCGAAACCGAGGTTAAGTGCGAATCAAATTCAGTGAAAGACAGTATTATAAAGGAAGAAGTTCCTGTGGCAGAAAAAACTAATGGAGATGTAGAAAAGACGGATACTGTTGCTGCAGAGGCAGTTACTGATGCACAGAATAAAGATGAAGTGACGACAAAAGAAGGTGAAAAAAGTACAAATGAAGCTTCATTGGAAAATAAAGAAACACAAAATTCAGAGGCTCAGAAGGAAACTGAAAGTATCGAAGGCCAAAATTCAGCGGACGCCGCGAAAGAACCTACTCAAGCTCAATCACCAGCCGAATCATGTGATGCTAAAGAAACGAAAGCAGATGCTGATAAACCTGAAGCACAGTTAAATGGTGAAGCAATGAACGGCAAACCAGAAACAGTCAGTCAAAATGGCGTCGACAAAGATGTTAATGAGAGATTAACTGTTGAAAACGGCAAAGAGCTGAATGGTGCAAATGGAACTAACGAGGAGAAGGGTGAAGGTGACTGTAAAGTTGAAGAAGTGTCTGACATTAAAGTGAAAACGCTCGCGGTTGAGGAACCACGCCCTGATCCCATAGAGCAGGCGACGGAAGCATAAAATACTATTGTAAGTATAAGTCCATATTACTGAAGTATAGAAGTCGCATTTTAGGCCACAAGCAGACAGTGGATTAAACATTACGTCTTTTTCATTTGTGGACGGTGGTTCGTAACTTAAACGGAATTTCGATATTCCACATATTTATTATCCAGATTTCTAGATGTTTATCCAATATAAATTTGATAAAACGAACCCACGACCTCATTATTAGCAATAAACTTCTACTATCAGACCAACGACCTCGTCAAAAATACATTAATTTCAAAGAGTAGAGATTTAGAAAGAAATTGCTCTAAAATCAAATATTTTATTCCAGAGGTGTTTAGATCTGGGTCGTTGTGCGTAGCGTCTGGCTCACATCATAAGAATGACAAGACTGAGGCTGCTTCCACGTTGTAACAAACAAACAACTCCATGCTGTTAAGGTTTCATGTATTGTGACATTACCATTGCCATAAATGCCACTTCACTAAGGAAAACTTAATATGGTTACGCTAAACACTAGCTGTTACTTTTACAATCAGTGTTAAGCTAATTCTGAGCTAAAAGAATATTGAGTTATTATTCTTTAAATAACTTCATGAAATGGTTAAGTTTATAAAAATTCAGCTCGGTGTTATTGTCATTTACGAAACTACACAATGTCACTTAGCCATCCAAAAAATGTATGTTGAATATTCCATTGAAAAACAGTACATTGTATAGTTCTGTGTCCGGCATGTCAATGTAATCTTAACAGTATCACCAGCTACAGAAAAGTTACGCGGGCCTCACTATTTTTAAGCCAATACAGTTAAAAACAATTTGTCTATGCTTTTACGGTATTTCAAAACATATAAGTACACTTTAGCGTGCGAGGATAGACGTGTTGTTTTCGATTGATCCTTCACATTTTTTACGTATTCTTAATTGTAAGGTTAGGTTAAGTGATAGATTCGATGTAAAAACGACATGGTTATACGAACTGTTCGGCGTATTCTGTTACTGAGAGCGTCTTTACGCACATTGTCTACGGAAAGCAACTCAAATACTCCCAAATTTAAATGAGCTACTTCGAAACCGTGTCCAGTATAGGGGTCCTAGAACGCCGTTCTCTATGTTTGAGACTATTTTAAAGACTGCCCTTTCAGTTACCGGTGGTGTATGCGATATGTCACTGCTTGACTAACATAGGATATAACTATAATTAGTGTTTACCGTAAAGTGATTTTCACGTATCTAACATTGACAGGATTTGATGTTATACAACACTGCCAAATCTTATGCCATCTATCATTTGACGTCAGTTTACAATTTTTTATTGTGATATTGAGAAAAGACTGTTAGTGATCGAGTCGGGCTGTGTATTGATTGCGGCATGAACTATACAAGACTGCCAACATTAGGGAAAAGATGCATCTAACATTGTAAAAAAATATTATTTAGCAGTATTATTTCTAAAAAATAAGTTTTTATCTTATAACACATATTTGATTAATATTATGCCAATTATTCAATATATTTTCACCATTTTGATATTATGGTAGAAGCATCTTTTTACCAAATGATGGTAGAACAATCTTCCATAGTAGGTATTTAGAGATAATGTCTTGGTTAATGCTTGAACTTGAAAGAAATCGGCATATCCGAATCGATTTCGTCCTTACATTGTTCAAGATCGTTCGTATTTTAAGTTCATCAATACTCTACTTAACCATCACAGACATTTATTTGTATATATTGATAATTATTCAGGGTTCCGTTTGTGGATTTCTTCAGTGAGACGATAAAAACTGTAAACGTTGTTCCTTCCAGTGTCAAATTATATATTATTAGGCGAACTTTAGTGCATATGAAATTACAAAACTCGGAGCGGTGGAAGTTGCCAAATTGAACTAGTCAAGTGTTGAGAATCTCGATGGATTTGGTGTGAGCCACATGGACTGGGAAATGTTTCTCTAACAAGGTATTAATGTGTATTTTCTCTTTTGTATTATTTTTATAGTTAGTTGTAGACGCTCCTTTTGTTAGTTTTAAGGTTAAGATTGATTCGTTATTGTAATCTGACTTCAAGTGATCGACCGAGTTCCTTCTTTAGACTGATTTTTTATTAATCCATATTAACTGGTCACTCCATAGTATCTCAAAGAATACTTAGCGCATATGGTATATGTAATTCTCGTAATTCGACAAGAGAAGCTTCGGTTACGGTTTCTTTGTGTATAAACGTAAAGTTTTCCATACATTTGAAGGTAATAGTATTACTTTATCATCACTGAGATAATATAATGGATGTAGAACTTCTCATTGGTTTTTTATTTAATTCCCGAATCCCTTTGAAACAAACTTCAACATAAAAGAGAATGGCACAACAATTTTTTTGAGTTAGGTTATAGTGTCACAGCTTTCTTACTTAATTGAAAAAAAATAAGATATTTCACACTTGGCCATAATTAGTTTGAAATTATATGAAATTGCGTTATCCCTGTTTAGAGCATTGGGCAGACATTTGTGCCCTGCCAATACGCAATTTGCTCAATTTAACATTGCGTCATGGAGACGGTTAAAGCTAGACAAAGTATACGGGGAATATCGATTTCAATCAGGTTTAGCACATTAATATGGTGTTTGTCAGGAGAAACCTTCAGCCTGCTTATCAGTTGGACAAGCAAATTGTTTGCTATTCTTAGTGACCAGACTAATGTAGTCTAGACTGTTAAAAAATATAAGTAAATCTATGCCACTAGATGTCGCTTAATTAAAGTAACAAACGAACAAGAAATAGAAGTTTCTATGCGTTAATTTTTAGCAATCGCGATACACAATGTATTAAAATCCCATAAATGGTCATAGTTCAAATCTATTATCAAAAAAGAACCCTGCATTTTAATAAAACTGCTATGCTATATGAAATCCGTCGATAATTTTCCTCCAGTTTGAAATACAGCCCGGACGTGGGGTGACGTCAGGGATTCCAGTGCTTATGAATCACGCTTGATGTGTCACCGTTCCACGCTCTCGGCCGCTACTTCGACCCGTCTCTTTACGGCCAACACATTGAAGATCAGTTCTCAGAACGAGCTATTTTGATTACCACCAAGCCTCAATACGACGCAAGGCTGCATCTCTAAATGATATCTAACTAATAACCGGTTTGAAAATATCGGTAAATTTTTAAATGACAAACATTTTTAACTAAGAGCTTATTATTGGTTTTATATGATAGAGAAGGATAGACAAGCATTGTGGTTCACTTGATGGTAGGCAAGATAGCCCAGCATCTAAACAATCTATCGTTTTGGATATTCGGAAATCCACAGATTGAAACCGAAACGCAAACTTCACGGCTTTTTAATCTGTGAAAGGTGGTTTTTAGTTTGTTGATGTAATTCTAAACAGTACCTACTGAAGGTCTACTTTATTATATGGAAGAGACAGATGCATCGTTTGAACACTCATGACCCTTTCCCCATAGGTAGTGGTAAAAAGTTGTGAGAGGCTTCTATTATTATAACTTCTAAATCATGTTAGACTTATCTGGAAATATGAATATTAAAGGAGTCGTAAGAGTATCATAATTCCATTCGAGGCACAAACCACCGTCCAGTTTAGACTGGAATTTTGAATATCCAGAGATGTTACATGGCTGGAGTATTTACCATTGATTGCCTGTCCTCTATCATATAAAGGGAAGATTATTCACACTAAATATTTTACCTTACTCTGACAGAAGAAGAGAAATACTATCGGAAAAATCTATTACCGGTTAAAAACACTGAACCGAAAGCCGGGATTGCGGTGAATGACAAACCGTTGTTTTACTTGGTTCTTGAACTCTGATAATACTATCAACATTTTCCCTTAGAATCTCCTTAAGCCTGACCTGGTGGTATAAAATGACATAGAAGATTCCTAATAGATTTAATTTTCCTAATAAGTCCCCTTGCTTTTGAAGATAAGGATTAATAAAGATTTGTCACACCCATACTTTGCTTGATTTGATAACTACCCAAAGCTTTCAGTTAGCTTGTAAAAATTTATTAAAAAATACCTATTAATTACTCAAAAATATAATTAGAAATCATTAAATCTTTAATAATACAAATGTAAATTAAATCAGTCGTTGACTATGTCACATCAATGTTTAACTGAAAGTTATATACTCTGTGGTCTTACTGCGAAATTGAGGACATTGAGATAAGCGAACCGTTGTAGGTAGTTGTATATAATAATTGCTCTATATAGCAACTTGTAGCTAGATACAGTACTACTAAGTACGCTAACTACCTACAAGTTAACTATATTCTCTACAAGTTTTATTTAAAGACCTTATAAATTGAAATGTCTGGCCCGATTATCATTTTAATTGGCCGTATATTATTCCACCATCTCGTTCTGGAGAATCGTGATGGGTCTAAGGACTTAACTCCCCTCCACCCAGGAGATTGAAGCCTAGCAGCCAGCATTTAATATGTTGAAACAAAATACTAGTGATATTTCATGACGCGCATCTTGAACGCGATATCTAACAATAATGAAAGTCATTGAACGATAACTTTGATAATACGCGTAGTTTTACATCGTATTTCTTGTGTAAACGTCTGACTTTTGTAGATATATTAAATACCTTTAACAAATAGTCGAATTTGTAGGCTACTTGAATAAAATATTTTTTTTATATAAACCTATATATAGATACAATTTACGATTCAAGTACCAAAATCTGTTTGAAAAAAAAGTAACTAATTCTTTAAGATTCTTGATGGGTTGAAATAAGCGACATCTAGTAAGGGTTAAGAGAAATTTAAACGCCTCTGTAGATGACATTAATGTTGTAGAATTATTTTATCAAGTATTTTTATTTTAACTGTGGCTCGACGTTTCGGCTGCTGCATTTGTTTTATTTAAATTATTGTATTTATCATATAGGTTCATAATTCAGTACAATAAGTGAGTTAAAAAACTCCTTTGCCTAGTGGTTTATACACTTTAGTATAGATTTTGGAATTAAATGTTTAAATCCCTGGATTTGGAGCATTATTACTACCAGCCCGAAATAGCAATTGATTTTTTTTTAAGAAAAAATATAATAGCGTTAGTTTGTTACTGTTGGACGTTAAAGCCCGCCAATCCGCACTGGAGAAGCGTGGTGGGTCTTTTCTATCATAGGAAACCATTGGCCAGCAGGTAAGGTTCTATTATCGTACACAGGTAGTATAGGTAATCATATTATTTATATATATAGTGCATAAGAAAAAAGTAACCTCGCTCCTTATATAATGTGTTAAGTACTTTGTTTTTAATATCCTTCCGATTTCCGTTGTGTTTCTGTTCCTGTAGCTACTGTGGCGTTAAGCGCGAGTGTTGAGTTTGAATCTCTTCAAAACACGATGATGTATTCGCTCTGTCAATATACAGAACGTTTATTTATTTATTTATTATATATTTATAAAGTTAAATATTTTTAATCTCCTTTTAGAAGCAAACACATTCTGATTATAATATTAATAAATAAAATCCTTATTGTATTGTTATATAATTTCAATTAGTATTTTCTTCCATTGCCTGCAAGCTTATAGCACAGTATATAAAACACAAATGACGTCACCGTGATGTGGCTTCTCTTATGTCACAGTTATAACCTCTAGCGTCTGGGTTCTATAATATAATTAAGGATTACTGCGACGCGACGCCCGGTTGGCTCTGAAGGTTCTGACTTCGAGTCCGGGGATTACAAAATATTATTCATAAACATCGATAATTTAAATAAAACACTTTAACTATTTAAAACACGATATATATGCGTTAAACTTATTTTAAACAAAATTTTTAGGCCCGACGTTTCGGATGCTTTGCAGAAGCAGTGGTAAAGTGTGTTTTTTTTAATGTGAACTACTTGAACGAACATTGATAATTTCATTTATTCAGACCATAATCAGAACAAAACAAAATAAGAAAATCCACAGTTTTTGGAGTGTTACAGGAAGTCTTATAGCTACTGAGCGATTTCTTTCAGGTAACCCTTTTCATATTGCGAAGGGCTTCAAAATTCTAATAAAGAAAGGATAGCAGTTATCAAAATGTATAATAACAAATAATAAAAAGTCGTTAGAGTCTTAATCTTAGCCAATTAGTTTTAAGTTTACCACGTATCTGTTTATATGCCTTGTTTATTCCTAAAATAAAGGAAACATTTTAATTAATATTTATATATAGTAAAGTTTCAACTCTGAAGAAACGAGTTCCGACTCTCAGGCAGAACTCAAAAATTCACCATCTCAAAAGAGGTAGCTTTTAATTGCCTTAAATAGACGGTAGATTATTTTACTCTCGTAGTTATAAACAAGCTGCTAAGGTCTGTGTGCTAACTGAAAGTGTATGAAGTGTAAACGGGCTTGTTTAGCTCGTAGCTGGCTAGTTTCCCACGTTATTTTCATTGGAGTGTTTTTGGCAATGTCCTGCCTACACGTTATGAAATATCAACTTGCTCTTGTTTACAAAAAGAACTCGCAGTCCAAATTGAGTTTGTGTGTTAGAGGGAATTTTTAGAGATTAATTCAAAATCTTCTAGAAATATTAAAGTAAGGGTTGTCAGTTAGGCTTATAGGCAAGGGTGGATCCAGTTTTGGTGCCAGAAGGGGGTCACAAAGTCGTGGTCAAGTTTTTTATTAATGTACAGTTCGTTTACGTATAAAATTAAATAAAAATATATATTATACCTTTGACGAATTTAATACGTAATTATTTGTAAATTAAATCAATTAGTGGTCCACCTAAGTCCTGGACCAGCTCGATGGGGGGTATGACCACATGACACCTCCCCCCTGGATTTGCAGTTGATTATAGCTTATACGCGAATCGGTTACTATCTAATTTTTGGTTAACATAATAGTTTCTGTTTGAAAGACCAAACAAGGTAATTAAATGCATGTCTGATAATTCAGACTCAATAGAAATATTAAATGTCTGTTTGCCATGCCCCACATAACAGCAAAGATTTCTATTCGTATCGTTAAATACCTTACTATGATAATCAAAAACACTTACCTACTAAATAAAATTTAAAATTGCAAAAAAAACGTGGTCGTAACCTAAAAATAGTTGATTAATATTTTCAATAACAAAATAACTACGCAGCATCATAGTAGTTCATACCAATAATTTTGAAGGCCTAAAACTAACTTAAATACGGCTCAATGTGTAGGTAGTCAACAAAAGCAAGCGACTGTCGCAAAATATGAACTTTCCTCAAGCGATTCAGTTGAGAATATAAAAAGAAGTTGAAGGTAGACGCAAGCAGTGGAGCAACCGGTAGCGGCTTGTATTTTTATGTAACTCGTTCGGGCCCATTGCGCCACGTCGAAGCCAAACGCAAACATACAACTTCGCATTATCTGTGGCCTCGCGTTATTGGGCACCACTATGAGATTAAAACTTAAAGCTCTGTTAGATATTGAAGTAATTATTATTAAACTATGTTTATGACGGGACTCAAAATATGATGTGCATTTATTTCGCATTGGAAGAAGTAATAGATGCCATCAAGTATTAAAATTTATTTAAATAAAATATTTACAGTGCCCTGAATGAGAAATTTTACCGCCTCTGTAGCCAAATGGTTAAAGGTATTGCTTAGTATTGCGTTAAGCGCGAGCGGTGCTGGGTTCGAATCCTAGGGAAACAAAAATTGTTTCGGTCGGGTAGGGCACAGAAGTCTGATCAACTACTTGCCTGTTAAAAAACGGATCAGTGAAACGGACACAGAAATGTGTTCGCCCCATGCCCCCACGCCCCACGAAGGGGAAACGGGATTTCACACACACACAAACCGAATGAAAAATGGTGTGTATGTAGTTTTGAATATTCGCTTTAGTATCTGTATTGGATTTGTATGAGTACAAGTTATTTATTTCAAAAAATTTTGAGAAACAATATTCGAAATTAATAAACATTAATATTTTTTACTTGTCAATGCACACGATCGTATTGTATGAATTAAAAAATAAATTTTAGATTGTTTTTTTTTCTGCTCTAGACTCAACCGTTCCGTTGCGGCACGGAGGACGTTACATTGAAAGCCGGTTCAAATATTCTATATAAAAAATTTCAGTATAATATACCCTTCAATGTATAATATTATTTTTTTATTACCCGTACTTTAAAAAGTAAAAAAAGAATGTTTTTTTATTGTATTTTTTTTTATCACTAGTTGAAAAGGTAAAGAGAGTCCTTTTTATTATCTGTATACGGAGTAAGAAATACTTTCAGGGTATGAGTCCCGATGTACCCTTGGCGAAGAACCCTTGGCCTGCCGTGGCCACCGCCCTAACGAAACGACCCTTCGTCCTTGCGGCCCTTCACCCCGCGATTGCCGACTGCCGTTTCCAAAGGGCTAGACTGCGGAGGAGCGCGTCGAGGAAAACTTGTATAGTCGTAATATATAACAGAGTATGTTTACGTTTTATATAAATTTAAAATAAATTTTGGGATAAAAAAAATGTGCGAGAGGTGCATGTATTAATAGACTGAAAAAAAAAATGTAACGATGACGTGTAGGACACGGTAGTTCAATTGGTTAGAGCAACAGCACGGACGCTGTGGATGCCGGTTCGATTCCTGCCCGAGTCGTATTTTTTTTTCAAACCAAACATTTTTTTTTTAATTAATGAATTAACATTAAAATGTCGTATTAGGTGAAAGGTTCAGCCAATTTTGACCTTAATTCTTTCCTTTAATCTTTATATTTAACACGATGCTACTTCATTCAATTCATTACTTTTAAGAGTAACATTATGAGCGAAATATAATTATATGTATTGTAGAAAAGTACGAACACTTATTAACAAGTGACAGTTATAACAACGTAACGTTTACAACAAAATATATGTTTAACCAGTATTATAACGATAAACAAAATGTTATTATTTTTAATTTTAGCTACTCGTTTCGTCTCCGGCGACTGGAGCGCCATCTACCTTTCTCCGCCTCTAATTTTATTCACGAAAGCAACGGGTTCTATTTATTCCCACGGCTTTCTAACTTTTCGTGTGTTGACCTTATTTCATAGATGACCACGTCTCCGCCGCTATCATTCTTATGCAGGATGTAATGAATTAATTAGTGGCTGAAGTTCTTTGCTATTAAATGATTAAAATATTAAAATGTACACTCAATTATAAAGGTTTTTGCCTTTTTGAGACATATTGCTGGCTGTTTAAGGTAATTGTTTAAAGCGAGTTAACGCGAGTAACATAAAAATGCAACAATAACGATCTAAGTTCAAAGGGATTCTCCTGACCACGACTAGCTGACTTGCTGAGTTCTTTTCTTCTTGAAATTGTTTCCAGCAGTTAATACTCGATTACATACTGATATTTATAAGTGTTTTTAGATCTAACGAATACGACGCTCTGGATTTAAGAGCTGCGGTAAGAATTTTTTTTACACGATCTCTAGAAATAAAATCATTTTTATTAACAATGAAAACGTTTCCTTAGTAACTGAACGGTATTTTGTTTCTTCTGAACTTAAAGGAATTAAATTTTATTTTACCTACCTCATTTTAGGATATTTAAATGTGTTTTATTCAATGAGCGTAACTGTAATTACTAGATACAACTCACTTTTTTAGATTTTTATTTATTCAGTTCATCAGTTGTATTAGGTTTAATTTAATGTTTTTAAGATTGTATGCTATGTGTAATACGTATTTACATAGGGGTGACATTAAAATGTAAATCTTATAGTTAATAAATTAATTTGGTCTTTATATTTGGAAATAGAGCTTTAGATATGAGTAAATGTTAAATATTGTGTGTAGTTTCCGGTTTAAAACGCGAAAGATATGAGTTAAATTTGTTTACAAATTATTTTTTATTGTCCCTCCGTGACCACGACTGCTGCAAAGCATCCGAATCGTCGGGCCGTAGTTAAAAATAATCTTTGAACAAGTTTAACCAAAGATAATATTTTTTCCATGAACATGATGGTACTATGTATATAAATTAAAATCGGTAGAACTTGAACCGGCAGCAACAGCGTCCCGCGCTATTGCTCTAACCAATTAAGCTACCGTGTCTACACGTCACCGTCGACGTGTAGGACACAATACAAGTTTAATAAATATAATTTCAAGTTTCAAACCGTTTCTGTGTTTTATTTAAAAATAAGTGCCACAATATCGTATTTAATAAATGGATCTCAATATTCATAGCATCATTTAAACATTTAAAACGAGTAAATTGATGCGTTCGATAAAATTTGCAACGTTGTATAAAATTTTTGACAACGAATTTGTGGTGTTACGGGATCACGCATGTCGGCTGGCTGATATGTTAGTTCGAAGGGATTGAATTGTTAATTTAGTATTCTTTATTTCAATTAACCAACCGCCTATGTAGCCAAATAGCTAAACGTATTGCCTAGCATTGCGTTATGCGCGTGAGGTCCTAGGTTCGAATCTTAGGGAAGCAAAAAAAAGTTGTTCCGGTGAGGTAGGGTACAGAAGTCTGATCAATTACTTAAAGAGAACGGATTAGTGAAATGGACACAGAAATGTGTTCGCCCCACGCCCACGAGGGGAAAACGGGCTTTCACTTTTTTTTTTAAATTTCATTGCCCTTCTACCAAACACTAGTAAGTTAATAAAGATTTCAATTAAAATATGCTCTTGGTATAGTCGAACTATCCTGGCTCAACTGTTATGCATGAGACAGGATTCGAATCCCAGCAAAATTTCGTTTACAACAACACGAGTTGATCATACTTACTTGTTGACAAAATCGATAAGAGGAACGGTTACACAAATAATCCCTGTGCCTCATATAGAAAAAAGGAGATTTTTTTGTTAGTTTTGAATTTTGGCAACAAATTGTAGCTATTATGTCATGTTATTCTGTTTCATAAAAGAATTGAAATTGAATAATCTGACCTAATTCCCCATCAGTTTTAATCAGCTTTGCACTCTAAGTAGGATATCCATTTAAATAACATAATAACGGTTTTAATCGCGAAATATTTCCGTTGTCTTACTTTTTGCACGGACGTTTCGGGTGCTTTACAACAGCCGTCAAGTCAGGCCATACTAAAAATAAGTTAACTAAAAAGCTTCGCATTTTAAACCGTTGAATGCGTTTTCTTTAATTGTGTACTACTCGCGTAAACTACAGACAATACTTAGGGTATACATTCTGTACCCTGTCGAGAATCAAACGTCACTAAACACAAGTCAAGTAATGCGGTATCAAGTGAAATAACAGTGCTCTATTATTCCAATGGAATCCAAAAGACCTTACAGTTGTGTATTGATATTCTCCGGTCTTTGGTACGGGAGTAGCTGTTTTTCTGATCCGATCGAAAACCGGTTGACCGTCGTAATGACGAGTCGGGCCACGCTGGTATCACCAAGCTGTAAGTGAATGTGTTATTGTATATTAGCAGATTTTTTAATCGACTTATAGTAGAGATTGAAAATATATTGAACTATATAATAACAAATTATATAGTGCCTTGATGTGCGATAACATGTGAAAAATATTAATGTTTTCAAACGTTATAACTTTGTAATTTCATCTTGATGATGAAATTACAAAGTTATAACGTTTGATTTCTTAAGCTGCAAAGCATAAGACATTGAACCTTAATACGCAAGTGTTAAGGTTGAAATTACATTGCGCGAGAGGTGCATGTATCAATAAGTTGAAAAAAATCGACGATGAGGTGTAGGACTCGGTAGCTCAATTGGTAGAGCATCAGCACGGAACGCTGACGATGCCGGTTCAAGTCCTGCCCGAGTCGAATGTTTTTTCAATTTATTTTCGATTTTTAAATTATATCGAACTAGTTTGAAAGCTTTAATTTTTCACAATGCCATCAGCATTTGATAAATTAAAAACTATTTGGATTGAACAAAACAATTACGACACGGACGGGACTTGAACCGGCATCCATAGCGTGCTGTGGCTATAACAGACCGGTAGCTTAACATATTAAAGGTTTACCTTCCAGTTTCAAAATTTTGTTGAGATACAATGTATGACTATCATGATTTCAATCCCCACTGAATTCATCTTTCTTATAATTTATCTGAAGCATGTTGGACTTTGTTTGAAAATCTTGATATTAATTTGGTGGTAGGAATAACGAAACTCCATCCGCATCAAGAACCACCAACCAGTTTCAAGATAAAAAAGCCGTGAACCGCGTTTGGATTTAAATAAAACACTTTAACGGTTTAAAACGCGATATATTAGTATTAGTCTCCCCGTGACCACGGCTGCTGCAAAGCATCCAAAACGTCGGGCCGAAGTTAAAAATCATTTTCAAATAAGTTTAACTAATATATCGCGTTTTATACCGTTAAAGTGTTTTATTTAAATGTGTACTACTCGCGTAAACTATAGACAGTATCCGCGTTTGGATTTCAGTCTTTGGATTTGCGAAACTCCAAAGTCAAATATCACAGCGCTTCTTATTTCGATGTTATATGGCTTCTATGGATGGATGTTATGTTATATGGAAATAGCTTCGTTAGCTACAGGTTTAAAGCCATATGTTTTGAGGTCTTTGGTTTTTATTCATTTATTAGGTAACGAACATTTTATTGTTGCAATTTTATCTTCGGGCTCAGGCAACTCCGTAATAATAAAAAAATTGCTCTATAAAAGTTTCCCTATGTGAAGGGTAGTTAGAGAATGTTTAAAAGCGGATTCGGCAATTATAGTGCACTATGGAGAAAGTTAATATATGTATACATATATAAATAAGACTACCTAATCTGGCAAAGGATTTTTTGCCATGTGAAGTATTTCGATCAAATCTGATTACTATAAAGGTGGTTCTCATGAGTTAATATTAAAAGATAATATATATCAGGGTGGATGGAGGATAATATAAATAATCCTCTTCTTCAGCGATCGCTTATAGCGTTTAGGCCCCGCTTTCCACTTAAGTTTCATTTGTTTGTCTGCGTATACGAATACACTAATTTAAAATTACTAAGAAATACATACGGACAAACAAATCGAGAATATAAAACATAAGTATGCGAATCCTCCTTAAGTTCACGGCTATTATTTAAATGTGTATTACGCTTTTAACGGTTTAAAACAGGAAATGTTATACCCTACCTATTTGAGTTTTAAGCCGTTAAAAGTGTTTTATTTAAACGGATCCTAATTCATAATCTGAGAAGGGATAACAGATTTTGAATATTGTAATCGCAAATTTAAATGGCCACTCGACTTCTATTTTCAGCGATTATCTTAACCTCCCTACAGTAAATAATTAATATAAATAAAACTACAAAGTAACCACAAAATATGAGCTAATTCCTAACTAAGCTAGCTATAGAATTCTGCTAATTACTAATTAGCAAATACAATTTTAATACGAACTAGTTTCTTTAGCTTTATTTTCAGAATGAATTCTTTACAGCCGTGCCTAGGTTTTGTACAATTTTTGTCATTATAAAACAGATGAAATTCTTTCCAAGAATCAAATGTTTAATTGAAATTTGTTAATAATACTGCAAATTAGGTATTAAGTAATATTTAACATATTTTTTTCTTATTATATATCTTTAAAAGGAGATAACCATATCAATATTCTAGGCCCAGACCCAGGTCTTTTAAGAATTAAGCACTAAGTATTTTAGGAGTTTAATTGATGGTAGATCATTTTCAATAGATAAAACTTTTAACGGTTTAAAACGCGATATATTAGTTAAACTTATTTGAAAATGATTTTTAACTTTGGCCCGACGTTTCGGATGCTTTGCAGTAGCCGTGGTCACGGGGAGACTGAAACGTCGGACCGAAGTTAAAAATTATTTTCACATAAGTTAGGTAATAAATCACGTTTTAAACCGTTAAAGTGTAATATTTAAATGTGTACTACTCGCGTAAACTATAGACAGTATTTATCCTATTATTCCTTTGTGGTCTCTTTTTTCGGATGTATCATTTATACTTGAGCCACAAACTGAATTGTATAATAAAATATGTTTTTTGGACAATGGACAATATTTTTATGTATATTTTATTTAATAGACATCTACACAGTAGAATAGAAATTAACGCGAAAGGTAAGGATTCATTTAATTATAACATAAATGACACGGCTCAGTTGATAGAGCAACAAAATGGACGTAAGTTCGAGTCTCGTTTGCGTAATTTTTTATCCATCTATTATTCTTGGAATTAATAACATTATAGTTCATATGAAAAATATAAGACTATAGTTTAAAAAGTAATGCCTCCATGTCTCACAGGCAATGCTAATAAACGGACCTATTAAAGGTTTTTAATAATTCAGAAGAAAGTAGAAGATGTAGTGCGCAAGTCACTTGCTGGGAAACGGGAGCAGATGTCTGCTTCCCGAAATATCGAGAGTCAGCCGGAGCCGACTGAAGGAATAAATGTCGATATAAATTAGACGCGCAACGAAGGTGTTACAGATTTATGAAGGCTATTCGTGCCTATTATGTCATTGATCGACGTAAAACAATACGAACAATTTATCTATTTTATTTTCATGTAATCAGAAAAACTAACAGCTTATAAGAAGTAGTTGGTATTATTACAGACCGATATCTTGACGAATAGTTTGTGATCCAGACGGTTTTAAGCAAGTTTAGACAAGTTTAAGCAGCAAATACATAAAAATGTATGTTATGCTATTAGCTAACAGCCTTTAACGTGTAAATAGTTATAATGATAGGAAAAACGTTATTCTATGTTTTAATAATTTTCAAAGTACCAACATTATCAATTACACGACAGTATTTTAAAGGAATAAAATATCACAAATTCAGACTAGAATCCGCGACTACTAGCAAAATTCTGTGCACTGCCACTGCCATTGTTGTCGTAAGTAAATTTTTTAACATTAACTGGGTAAAAATACCAAGTGTTTTAATTGTTAAGCAGTTGATAGCTCTACGAAAATATTAACTTAAATATATAAAACTCAATATACAACGCCATCTAGGTGACGTCTTTTCAAATATTAAGAAAATGCATTTTCGCAGCAAGCGAAATGATTATTGTTCTCATTAAATTATCATGACAACAGAAAAGGCGCACAAAAAGAGCGGGAAAGTTCCCTCTTCGCCGCCATCTTTGTTCGCTACCATAGATAATGCACAGAACCATTGTGCGCAGAGCGCGCTCGGCTGCTCGACACGTGCAGCGCACATCTGTCCTACGGGTGACGGCGGCACCCTCCACTCTCGACCACATTCCCAGCAACGAGCCCAAACTTCCACAATCTGTTTTTATTATAATGCAGCAAGGGCCTACTGAAATTTTACAGACTATTTCAATGTATTATTGTAAATAGTATTATTTTTATGTATTCATATAACTTATACGATATAATATTAATAGATAAATTATTAAAAGAGATATTAACGTCCATAATTTATTTTTAAACAAACCCTATTTAAACATTCATATATTAAAATTAAATTTGTAAAATAAACTAACCAACATATTTCAAGGAGGAGATCAAACTTATTTTGCTTATAAACAATATCCATAATATATGGGTTTGCCGTTCCTCTTCATATAGACTGCGATAATAAGTAATTAAAAAAGTAATATGTTACTTTCAGAACACTAATGTAGATTAAAAGGAAAACAAAACATCAGTAATGCGAAAAAAGCAACAAAAGCGTCCTTATAAAACCGATATTTAGCGCTGCGCCGAGAGCGCATGCGCGCGGAGGGTTGCCCTCCGGCCTCCCCCTTCTATTACGCACCTCTATTTAGGGGCTGATACAAAGAACGACTCCGGACTATCTATTTTGGTCTTCAGAATATTGTCATTAGATCGTCTACAACCCTGGTAGACGCAGGAGAAGCTAAATTTGTATTTTATTTGATAAATTTAAAATATGGACCGCTTATTATACTCATTATTGATTTTTCGTTACGTAGCGTTTATAACTTCGAGTGCAGACTCTTGGTTGGTGAATAACATTTTAAACATTTTAATCTATCGGATGAGCTCGATTGAATATATGATTTGATTTTTTTTTTATAAAACAAGTAACTCTTTTATTTGTTTTTAATTATTTTTTAAATAGATACATATTCGTTATATATTATTTATAGTCATTTATGCTCTAATTGTCTTAAGGGGTTTTAATGCATTCCTAGTCAATACTAGTAACTTAACAAATAAAAAACGACAAGTGTTATATTGACGTTTTCTAATTAATAATTAATAGAATTTCATCCATTGTTCTTTTCCATCATAGTGTGCGTCGGAAAATTAAGCGCGAAAACTCTTTGTTTGTCAGAAGGTACCTTAATTATATTTGTGTAACACGTTTTCCATATTTTTTGGTAATAGGATGAAGCTACTCAATACATATAAAGCGTATGTTCTAAATATATTTAGTGGTATTGAGTAATTTGTATTTTATGGATAAGAAGTTAGTAGGCTAGCTTAGTGCGCCTGCGCATGTCATAACAAGCTAAATAAGTAATTGTACTTTTTGAAGGCATACCAATTAGAAGGCATAACTAAAGAATACAAAACAGAAAGAGTACTAAAAATAATTAGTATATTCGTGCATCTGAGAGATGATGTATATATGTGCGTGTCATTTTCAAGTTGATTCAATAGTTAGGAGTCTATAGGGCAAGTATTGGAAAACCCAAATTTCCCGGAAACGGATCCGCACCGCGGCGGAAACGGGTGGACGCCCTGCTGCTAAGTTCAGTGCTTTGAAGTTCCCAAGTTTCGAATTATATTAATTATATGTATATAGAACTTTGATAAGTTATTATTTGATAAGTGTTTGATTCATGTACCTCGATTGAATAAAAAGGGATTTCATTTCAAACCACAAACGAACAATAGTTTTGATAGATAGAAAAAAATCATAAATAACAAATGTAAAAAATATATTTTGGAAATACCGAAAAAAATAATGGATTTTGGACTTCAATCCTTGGCCTAAAAGTAGCTGTAGTAGCAGTCTCTCTACAGCGACAAAACTTTTAGGCCACACAAAACAGAAAAAAGTTACCTAACTCAGACTAATCTAGATCCCTAATTCGCTCAAATCAATTTCCCTAAATGGTAGCAAGAAATGGGCAAAATCTTTGGAAGTTACATTATTTTGAGAGTTTTTCTGCGTGTCGGAGTGTGAAGGTCAGGAGGCAAGCACTTCAGGGTCAAAGCGGACTTAGCAGCGAGCGAGGCCAAGACATTTAAATTCAAGCTTGGCCCTCCTTACTGCCTTTTGTTAGAGCTACTTTCTTCATACAAAATCGTGCTATTCTACAAAAATGAGCTTAAGATTTCACTATTTTTATTTACGACTATCCGGATTTCCCTTGTTTACGGAATTTAATACCATCGTAGTCATAACAGTGGCCAAGGAAAGTCCCAATAAAAAAACTAAAAAACATGGTCCACGCATTGGCAAACACAATTCAGTGTCCGTTTTACGATTTATCGATTTCTTACACACATTATTTGCAGACATTACAGGATTTTAGACATCATCATGCCTTGTCCAATTGTGCTTATTTATTGTTTCACCAAGATTCGAATCCGACTTCAATGCTAGGCAACACGTTTAGCCACAGAGTTGCGGAGTCGGTGAGTCTTTTCTGCGTGGGACCATAGAAATCCCGAATGCGCAAAGCACGAATCACACATGATAGTGTTTATTAGGAAATAATATTTTTAAGCATTGAATAATCCTGTTTAATAAACAATTAGGATTAATCATTCTACTGTGCGCTAAATGTGTAAAAAAATAAACGTGTTGCCAAGGAAAGTGTTAAGCGCGAGAGCTTCTAGGTTCAGATCCCAGTGAAACAATAGATTGTTTCGGTCGGGTAGGGCACAGAAGTCTAATTCATTAACTAGAATGTTAATAAAACCGATCAATGAAACGGACACAGATATGTGTTCACCGCATGTCCAGGGGGGAAATGGGATTTCACATTTTTATACTCATTGTGAATGTCTTTCGACTGCAGCTTGCGATACAGTAAATAGAAAACTAGTTATGTATAGAACCCATTTTTAGTAAGTTAAAAGATTAGATAATGAAAGTGAATTGTACTTAGTCGATAGGTTTTCTAGAAGAATATAAATATAATTACGTTCGTTAATATAAGTTAGAGCGCCCGAATTTTGGCGGGAATAGCACGAATCGAATTTTCTGGCCCTATAGTAATATTGTACGCTCGACGGCGCCATCTTGCATATTAAAGTTACACCCGCGAAAAATCTTAAAACTTACTGCAAGTTGCCAATTTTCTCTTACATCAACGTATATTATAATTTATAAGTACATTAATATTTTAACAAAGGTAATTAATGGTTCAACAGTAATATCAAGTACATGCGTTCTTTATAGAAGGGATTTGATATTAATTTAAAGCAACTGTAATATATTATTTATAGAATTTTTCTCTATATTAAATACCTACCGATAAACTATTCACTTTGTTTAAATGTTTTTGAGGCATATAAAATAGAAAAGTTTTTAGTAAGTTACTTATAATTTGAGTTTTTTTTATAAAAATCGTTTTTTAAATGTCGAAAGTCCTTTATGATTTTTTTGTGTCCTAATTCAAAATCAGCGCATCTTGATTAGTCGTTATTCATATAAGATCTATAGATATCGTGGTTTTAGACAATTTTCCTAACGACACAGCATAAATATGATTGAGTCAACCATCGATTAGTGTATTAAATACTCTACGAAGCACGTGAAAATTGAAGAAAAATGCGACATCTATGAGCGACAGCGTAAACTTCAGCGAAAAATGCGTTTACGATCTTTATTATCGGCAGCGGTACTACAAATTTAGTTCTTGCCCTACAAAAAGCGTTTCTCCTTTCATAATAATAAGAATACGTCGAGCGAGTCGGTCGGTTGGCGCGAACATTCGTTCGATACGTACAGACACGGCGCGGGCTGGCTGTGTGCGTGGGCGGCTAGCTGTGTGCGCGAGTTGCCTCCCGCACTCCGCTGTCCGACGTAGCTTTCTGTTCACTTATATAACGACATACATAAGCGGGGTAAATAATATACCTGAATAGCGAGCTATGTGCTGCCACCTAGCGGGTTTAACTCTCAACGTGCCACAGACTATGCACAGGTGACTTTTCGGCTTCTTTGGAGCGCGCTTGATCTTGTTTGGACGGTAAATGCTTTAGCGTTAAATCTAATCTGAATCTTTATAATAAGGGGAAAATACAAGAAATTGATTAAAATTGTTTGCAATTGAGCTAAAGGAAACCTTGATCCAAAGCAACTGCTTAGGGTGTCACGTGTCAAGGCGAGGCCTATGTTCCCTTAATGCCTATATACTCAAGTTAAGAGTATCGTTCAGACTTCATAAGACATTTTTGAAAGATAACGCACAAAGAGACAGAATATATTTTTTATCTTTAACAGATCGATCGACCATAGTTCCCTAAATTATTACCTTACAATAATTTTATGGTTGATACTAAAAGTGAAATTTAAAGGAATCAATCAAATTATCCTGGGTTAAATTATTCACGCGGATTATTAAAAAAAAAGAACAATATATTATAATCGGTTGAATAGTGTTGATTGGAATATTATAATCTTTGTTAAAACACGTAACGTCAGTTAGTAGTAGTAGTTATCGACGAAGCGACTAGCGAATGGTAAGTTTTCTTTCGACGATTATGAACACCATTCGACCAAATTAGCTCGAGCTTTCGATCCAACACGAAGCGACTCACTACGGGAAAATTTCACAAGCAGCCATCCATGACGTCCATCTACCCGCGCTCTTCGTCCGATCTCGTTTCCCAACCTTTCGTTTTTGAACGTAACGAAATAAGGCGGCCATTTTGAAATATTTCCCGCCTAAGACAAAACCTTATTAACTTGTTTTATTTATTTAAAATGCAACTATTATAAACATTAGCTAATATTTAAACTACATATTAGAAATGTATTATATATTTTTTATGATTTGTTAAGTGAGTTGATAAGGATTTTTTACCTTCTAATTTTCCAAATAAATTCTTCGGGCATAGACATTAGGAAGTTAAGAAAATCACGCCATATGCTCTTGGCATCATCACTATGAGTTTCTTGGTTACACCATATGTTGATATCTGCTTTACGAGAATCGTCATTGTGTTCGGTTCGGATAGGATCTAAAATGCCGTGTGGGTTTTTTAAATAGTTTTTAGTGGCGTTTGAGAACGGCTCGCGCGTCGCATGTCAATGACTCAACATCGTTGAAACTCTGCGCAATGAACACGAAAGAGAAAAAGTCCGATTGCA